GGGGGGGATGTTTGAGAGCCAAGAGCTCAGCCTGTAGGCTGTAGGCACGATGCAGCGACGATCAGCGCTCAGTATGGGATGGGCGTCCAATGGGCCGTGTCAAGTGAAGAAGCGCGACAAGGCGGACAAGCTCTCAATCAAGTGAGAATGTCTTGGATGTGAACGGCGTCTGCGGGAAGTTGTCCGTGAGGACGGCCGGTGGGTGATTTGTTGTCTAGGATGCGCGTGTCGTGGCGCGTTGTTTCTCGGAACATATGCACATAGGGCCATGGGAATCTGGGGAACGACATCTATTTGCCAGTTCGATAACTAGTTGTTCATTAGCTTGCAAAGGCGAAGCGAGATGGGACAAACCAAAAACTAGCACGGTGAGTGACGCCGCTCCTTGCATACCAGCCAGTTGAAGTGAGGGTGGAAGCCACGCGCGTGGTGTGTTGTGAAATGTCTTGGAAGTGATGCTTGAAATAGCTCAAAGTAAACAAAAGAAATAAATGCAAAAGTTTGGTGCTTCTCAACAAGAATGAAGGAACCTTTGGGCAGTGATGGCAAGTCGAGATTTTCGGATCGCTCCAGTGAGAACGGTAACCACGGTTTCGGTGTCTTATTGCCGTTTGATATCACAGTGGTAATTTCATCAGCCCCTCGCGAGACACCGAGAAAAGGACCCAGAGACAAGCCAAGCCAAGACAGAACCCCGGGACCAAGGACCAGCTCCAGCTCCAGCTTGCCCCTCCCCCCACAAGAAAGGCGCTGGGATTCCTGTCCAGTATCTGCCCAGTTGCATGGTATGGTCCAAGTTGAAAGAGGAGAGGAGAGTGGCTGCTGCAGCTGCAGCCGACTAGTCGCAGGCTTTTGCGAGATGGGAGGCGGCGCCATGGCCAAGGCAGGAAGAATGAAATCGGGAAACCCATGAATGCGACTGGGCAGACGCGGGAAATCTGCATCCATCGAGTGATGAATGGTATTGGCGCACAGAAGAATGTGGATGGCAGCTGGAAGATGCCCTATCGAGGGCTAAGACGGAGAGGGCCAAGGTTGCAGCCATTTCGGAGCCGAATTGGGTTTTGGCCTACGGTAGCGGCTAAATCCGAGATATCATGTGCATAGATGGGCAGGTAGGCAGGCCAATTGTCAAGAAAGCATGTCTTGCGCTCAAGTAACTGAGGAATAACAAAAAACAAATGCATACAAATGCACTCGTGTTTTTAATGTTTTTGTTGAAGGTATTATTATTCCGCGTTATTGCTTTGGAGCAAGCAGAGTCCCTGTTGATATCGACCTTGTTGTATCCCAGTACTTTACAGTGTTAGTTTGAGGCTGCAGAGCCTCCCCCCCACTGCGGCGCTTGGCACCGGGGGGGGGGGGGGGGGGAGGGGGGGCATGGACCATGGCTGGTCCATCCCTATTATTATTATACCGAGTTTTGTGCTTTTTCGTAACAATGTTGAAAAAAAAAAAGAGGGCAGAAGAGAAAGTTGCCTTTCCCATGATCAAATCTGAAAAAGATGACGCAATGGTGGAATGAATGGGCAAAAAAGGCTACCAATAGAAGGATGCGTGCCCAACTATGGATCTGGCCGAGGCGAGATGGAGCAAGCCATCTGAGTCGTCGGGTAACTAGACTTGTTAGTGGACTGTCTCGGGATGAAGTTGTGTCTTGCACCTCTCGAAATTGTGAATACGAAAAGAAAGAGAGAAAGCGATTAGAGGGAAAAAAAAAAAAGAAGACACTGCGACTCTGTTCAGCACATGCGCCCATCATTCAGGACCATTCCACATCCCGTAGCCATCATTGGCCCATGTCAGATGGCCGTGTAGCGCTGCCTGCGCGACCCGCCGCCGCCCAGTCCCCTTCGTCGTCTGTGTGCAACGGGTGACCCTCCTTCATCAACCATCGCTACCTCTCCATCGCGACTGGGAGAGGGCCCTTCAGCCTGTAATTTTACAATACAGGGCGAACATCAGCTTTCCTTGGGCGCCACAAAGCCCATTTACAACCCCCCCCCCACACGCCGTCACAAACCACCTGGGCCATAACCCCGGGCGGCGCCCACTTGGCGCACGACGCTAGGGTACCCCCCTCCCCTAAGCAACCCGCTAAAAAACAACACACAATTGTCCATCTGCCAATGCTGTCGCCCATGCACCACTGTAATTTGCCCGTCTGCCCACTGGCAGCTTTGCACCACTGCTCTACCCTGCGTCCACTCCTCCCCGTTGCAAACGCACCCCTCCATCGTCCACTAAAAAGACCGCTGCACACGCCCCCCCTGCACAGCGTTCCTTTTTGTTATTGCTTGCCTTCATCTTTTCCTCTCGCTGTGCCACCCCAACTCGTCCTCCTTATCTGCGAGCCGCTAAAACGAACCCCTCCGCTGCCTTTTTCTCTCCTCGGCCTGGACCCTACCTGATCCCATTCTTTCACTCCTTCTTTGTCAACACCATACAAACAACATCACGACTCTTATCCCCAGTCGTGTTTGTTGCCTCTTGTTTCTTTCTTCTTCTGGGTTTTCGTCAACCCGCCCAACCTTTTCTCATTAGTTCTGGCCGTCGCAGTCAGCGAGAAAAGTGTTTTCAACTGGAATACGCTGTGTTTGGTCTCTCGCAGCTGTCCAGTCACCCATCCCGTCCTGTTTATCGCTTCCTCTAGACGGATGTCTTCCTCTCTCCCTTCTCCAGCCAAGGTATGTCCGCCGTCGTCATCGTCGTCTTCTTTTTGCTCGCGCTGCTTGTTGCTGTCTTTGGATCGTTTTTTCTCCGCCTTGCATCTCGTGAAAGCCCCTTGCCGCTGCTGTGTACCCGCTACTGTTCGACGCCGTCTTTCCCGAGTCCCCGTCGTTGCAACGGTTTTTACAACCGTCAACTTGTTTTCCATTTGTCTCGCCTTCGCTTGTGCTCGATCCATGGTTAGACACGCATGCGGCCTCTGTTCTTCACTGCAGTCGAATTTGGTCCCGGTTTGCGCTGCGTTCTCTTCGCTTACCGCCCTCGAGTTCTCTCCCCTGTATCCCCTCACGCAGCTTGTCCCATGAAACAAATGTGCCGGCGCATGCATGTCCTGCATCCGCTTCCAAGTGCTGGCCAACCGCTTGCGCTGCTCGGCCAATCTCATCCGTCACCGCCCCTGCCGTCGTACCATGAACCACGTTTTGCAAGACGTGCCGCTTTGCTTGTCAAACCAGTCCTCGTCATGTTGACTAACAATTCTCTCTCTTCCAAGGTTGGCATTGCCTTCTAAGCCTGCGGTCGATCGGTTCCTGCACGTTGCATCAGACAAGCACACAAGTTAAAACCGTCTTGTCTCGCAGTCCCGACTTCTCGCCCACATTCCCTTGTCCTAGTCCGGCTTGCGTCTATACCCCTCCTATACGTTCTCCCGGTCGATGCCGTCCTTTATCTCCAAAATGGACTCTGAAGACGGTGAATTCTTCATTAAAGTATGCTGCCTCTACGAGTTAATACCCCGACTATATTCGACAAGAATACTTACATGCTGAATAGCAACTGGCCACGTTTGTGCGCACTCATGAAAAGGCACTCGCCAATGCTTTACAATTTCAGCGCCAGAGCCGTCACAGGCCCTCTCAGAGCACCAGCGCCGCGACGCTTCCCCCGCCACCGACCGTCTCGGAGCGCCCCTCAACATCCTCCTCGACTACTGGTACCCTCGCTGCTGCGCTCTCGCTTGGCAACCTTAGCTTCACCTCTCATAATGTCAAGTCTGCAAAGCTGGCATTGACCCCTCATCATCTCTTCTATCTTCTCTCCCGTTTTGAGGACCTTGGAATTTCCGTCGGACCTATGAAGATTCGCTTGGAGAATCTGCACGACAGTGCCTCTTCCGCCAACTATGTATCATTCCTCAGTGGTTCCAACCAACGCCCCAGGACTCGTAGTACGGATGCTACTTCCATTCATTCCGTTTCTAGCGTCAGGAGTGTCATGTCTGGCATGTCTTCCCTCTGGGCAAGCCTCGGCATCGGGTCCAGCATTTCAGCTGCTCGAACCGAACGCCAGAAGGCTGCCCTCGAGGCTGATATGAAATATCTCTACTCCGCCTTTACCAAGATTCCCTGCCTGAAACTGGCCCCTGACTGGCGAGCCCGATTAATCCGTGGATACGAGGAGTTTCCCTTTGACTCGGCCGTTCCCCTGTACGCTTTCAAAAACCTCCAAGCTCTCGAGGTCAATAGCATCGATTTTCGCCAGTTTTTTGGATGGGACCGCATGGCTGACCAGCTGCGATCACTGACCCTTAGACAGGCCGGAATCGAAGATCCTGCCGACATTCTCATCGACATTGTCCTGGATGATATGGATAAGCGACGCCGTCGCACTTCCAAGGCCCAGTCATCGCCCACCACCACTTGGGGCGCAAACAGCCCCCGTCGCAGCCCGTCTTTGGTTCACCCAGAACTTTCCCGCTCAGCTTCCCTCCCTGCTTCCCCGGACCCCCGTGCCGCCCTAGGTGATCTCCGAATCGGTTCGCTTACCCCTCCGGACGCATCTGATGCCCCAACGAGTCCCAAGAGCCGTCCCATTCTTACTAGGAAGGAAAGTGAGGACTATTCCAAGTCCCCTGCCAAGTCCCCGGCAAAGTTTTCACGACCTCGCAGTATCTCGCCGTCGAGACCCACCACCTCCCGCACGCATACTCGCAATTCCCAGAGAATCACTCGCTCTGGCTCGGGCAGCTCTCACTCCAGCCTCTCGGATTCCTGGTACCACCACCATGCCCGCGGCAGCTCTGGTAACTTACTCGCCATGGGCATTCTGCCGGCCTCCAAGTGGAGATTCCTACGGCATCTCAGCTTGGCCGATAACGCCATGACTTCTATTCCTCCCACGAGTCTGGCCCCGCTCTCCAACACCCTCTACTCGCTCGACCTCTCTTCCAACCTCTTTAATCAGATTCCAGAAAGCCTTGCCACCTTGACCGCCCTTCGCGCGCTCAATCTCTCGCACTGCATGATTGATTCGCTCCATTCTCTAACTCGCAACCCGCTTCCTGCCATTACCGCCCTTAACCTGCGAGCTAATCGTCTTCAGTCACTGGCTGGCATCGAACGACTGTACCCTCTAGAGCGTCTGGACCTGCGCGATAATCGTCTCGGGGACCCTAAGGAACTGGCAAGACTAACTGGCATCCCCGAAATTCGTGAGATTTGGGTGGAGGGCAACCCTTTCACCCGCACACACAAAGACTACCGCATCACCATCTTCAACTTATTCCGCGCAACAGCCGGGTATACTGAAGATGTCGTGATTGATGGCAACGGCCCAACCTATACGGAAAAGCGACTGCTTGCCGAGCGTGTCCCGATCCCCGACTCAGTTCCCGTCGTGAAGCCCGCCCCAGTAGTGGTACCCGCGGTGGAAATCAGCAAGCCCGCCGTCATCCAGGGCGCAAGAGAGCCTGCGGTCCTTCGCAAAGAGCGCCCTGTTGCAAAGGCCGTGACGAGTGAGGCCAGCACCAGTTCCCGTCGCCGTCGGAAGACGCCCAAACGGAGAATTGTGGACTTGGCCACCCGTGACGGCTCGCCTCTGCCCACTACATCGGAAAGGCCTTCCGACAAGTCAGTTGCTACCTCTTCCTCTACCGTCACGAAAGTCGACGATGGCGAGACGGGTCTATCGCCTCGGCGTCAGCTTTTGCCTCCGGTAGTCCTCTCGCCTCGCCAGGGCGAGTTTGCGCCAGTGCTCTCCTCTGCATCGTCCACAGTCAAGCCTGAGGGCTCACAGCCAGCCCAAGATGGGGACAGCGAATGGGCGGCGTCGAGTGACTGGGATGCCAGTGGTGATTATTATCGCCGCAAAATCGAAGCTCTCCGAAACAGTGTCGGAGAAGGATATTTGAGTGCGCTCAGCGAGGAGAGCTGGGAATCCACCCCCGGTTTTGACATGACTGGCTTGCCGAACGTTGCTTCGCTTCGCGCCGGTCATCTGCCCCATCATGTACCTGCTGTCCAGACCGTCCATAGTGGACGCACACTGGGGTAGCGGTACAAAACATTGCTTGCTTGAAATATAGCAAAAGACGAAGATAATACCCTAGTGATACCCCTCCGTGTCTTTTTTTGCTCTGCCATGCAATTTCTTTGGCAGCTCGGGCTGCACTGGATGCTCTTTTTTGCGTTGGCATGGCCTGTTGAATTGCTTTTTGTTTGCGCTGCGGTGCTTTTTGTAGCGAGAGTTGCATGATTTGCGCCGTCAGTTTCCTGTTGGTGCTTGTTGTTTTTGCTCATGATTGTTGATTTCCGTCTCGTGGTATTTGCTTTTATTTTGGCCCTTGGGCAAGAAATGCATAGCATTGGCGTTTTGGGGATATGTGGCATTTGATCTTCTCCTTTTCTTTCTCTTTGCATTTATCTTGGAGTCGCTTGACTGTCGGCGGACTTTCTCATTTATATCTGCGTTGATGCTGTTGTTTTATCTGACGAAGCAAAGTTGACTTGAATTCGATTTTTGCTTGCATGGCTGGCTGGATCTTAAAAAAGGTTTCTGTCGATTTGGTGCACGGATACAATGGACGGTATAGTAGCGGCAAGTATGCAGGTAGAAGAACCCGGGAGCCCACGGCCTGAGAATGGCGCTTGTCGTACTAATTGAAATGTTTTGGCTTTGGTATTATAATTCTGTGCCTGTTCTGCTGTGAACTGTGATTGATTGTGAAGTAATCAAGGATAGAGGTGAGGGACTGCCAAGGACCCTCTCCGGGGAACTGACCCCCTTTATAAGGACCGACTTGACGTATTAAAGTGCGGTGAACGGGGAGGTCGGGATGAGTGAGGCTAGTCATTTGTTGGGGAAATCAGTCACATCGTGGCGGCCCCGTCCCGGCCCAATCTCCGCACATTCTTGATTACTCCGTAGACGACCCCAGATTGATCACTTACCTTTGTCTACGCACAGGGCTCGCTTGTAAATTGGCAGATTGGTTTTAACGATTCCAGGCAGTTTGGGCCTGTGCAACACAACAGCACCGGAACAAGAGAGGTGAAGTCATCGCTATGTTGCTCCATGCACGTCGACATTGCACAAGTGTATCTCTAGTCCAATTGTCCAATAACATCAGCGCAATGACACTGCTCTTCGGGAATAAAGAGTGAATAAACCTATCCGGTGTGGCTGTTGACCTTTTCGCGTAGGACTTGTAACACGGGTGACGATCGTGTTCGGATACGCGAGTCAAGCAAGGCCAAACCCCGTGAAGGGAAAAAAAAAAAAAAAAAGGGAGCTTACAATGGACCCCGAAATTCATCCAAATGCTTTTATCGGTTCAGGCCGACGCAGAGACAGCTGCCTGCCCACCCACAGCAGGACGGGTGATTTGCCGGAACGTCTGGAGTCTGGAGGCGAAGAACCCCAGAATTTGGCTGGTGCCAATGCAAGCAAGGATGGCAGACAGATCTGGCGCTAGGCCCAGTTGGGGGCTAAAGCTGAGGCCGCTGACTCAGCAATGTGGCGCGGGACAGGGTAGCCCTTCCAGCGAGAGAAGGAGAAGCAGAGGCCCGTGCACGGAGACGACGACCTTTTGCACGCGTTGGCCTGTTTTTGCGCAACAAGGAACGGAAGATGCTTCCCTCTACGGTTCCCGAGGAACAAGAGATGCACGGCTACTGATACGACGACGCGACTTGCACACGAATATTCTATCGAAACCGATCCGCTCTTTGGATGCATCCCGTCGCTTAGGGAGCCCTGACTCTGCCTGTCGAGGTGCTCTCTCTCTCCGCCCCCTTCCCTTGAGCGACCCTCTCTTGCCTCTCCGTTCGCGCCACCACCAACGGGATTTCCAACGCACGTCGACACAAATGATTAGCCAGCCTGCCGTTCAATACCGGCCTTGCACGTGCTGAAGCACTTGTACTGTCTCATTCATTTTTTAGTAATTCTTTTCTTTCACCCTCGCACGAAGACGGATGGCACTTGTTTTGCTCTTGAATCCTCGATAAACCCGTACGCGAAACGCGTATTTGCGCCACCTTCGGCCTTCTTCTCCCCGATCCCGATACCGAAAAGACAAAAGCGCCGAATTACAACTTGCAACCACGCACACGGGTTTTACACTTTAGCTTGCACGACCGCCCCATCCCACCTGCTCGGATGGCATCGCCCGCGGTCACACCGCAGAATCCCGCGCCTAGGCGTCGCGGCCGCCCTCCCGGCACCACGAATGCTGTTCGTGCTGCCCGCGCGGCCGAGGCGGCGCGCCTCGCTGCTGAGCTCGGGCAGAGCGCGTCGTCGCGGAAGCGGCGCTACGTGCCGGGCGGGCCCGGCGGCGGTGGCCGGTTCGTCGACCCGGACGGCCTTCCCGGCGGCGGCACACCGAGGACGGGGCTGGCACCGCCGTCGTCGCGCCGCCGCGCCGCCGCTAGCCGCGACATCTCCTACGCTGTGTCGCCCGTGCCGCTGCCGCGTCGCGACCGCAGCGCGCGCACCCGCGCCACGGCCGGCGAAGACTTTGAGGAGATTGAATGGGGCTCCTCCGCTGCAGCTGTCGCGGCGTCGGTCAAGCAGGCCGAGGACTACAAGCCCCGCGAGGAGCGCAGCTGGGAGGAGTTTCACCCGAACCTCGACATTTCGCAGCGCTTTGTCGTCTTCGCCGCCGACGAGGTTGACGGTGTCACCGCGATGCGCGAGACGCCTAGCACGCCGTCTCGGCAAACGCCCGGCACGCCGCTCAACGGAGCCATGACCCCGTTGCGACAAGTGAATCCCGTCTCGACGGGCGACACACCGATCCCACAGCTTCAATTCGATTCTGGCAGCCAACCCGACTCGCAATCGGCAGCAGGCACGATGACGCCGTCGAGACGCTCGAGGAGGACGGTGCGCGAGTCCGTCTCATTCTACGGCGTGCGCGCCACGTCCACGGCTCGCACGCCCCGAACGCCACGAATACTTCCCATCTCAAACCAAACGCCGAAGGAGAAGCTGGACCTGAAGCAACCGTCGTTCCGCAAGACCAACCGCATAGAGCTCTTTGAGAGCAAGACGTTTGGGCAGGCCCGCTACGTCGACAAGGCGATGAGTAATGTAGGATACCAAGAAAGCGATCATTTTCCACGGCCGGACGAGACGTTGCTGCGCGCCATCGATCTCGGCGCCGAGGACGACGCGGAGCAGTCGTTGGCATATCTACCGAGCAAGTCGGAGGAGCACAGCAACGGCGGCCACGCGCCGCACGCGCAGAAGCTGGGCCGCGTCGAGTACGACATGGACGAGCAGGACGACATGTGGCTGGAACACTACAATGCGCAGCGCAAGCAGGCCGATCTCGAGCCCATCACACGCGAGGTGTTTGAAATCACCATGACCAAGATCGAAAAGGAGTGGCACGCGCTCGAGCGGCGCATTCCCAAGCCGAACCCCAAGCCGCCGCAGACGCACCGTCCGCGGTCGAGCTCGGCAGCCGCGGTGAATGGCGAGATTCAGAGCGGCGGTGGTGGCGGCGGTGGCGTCAGCGGAGATGAACCAGATAGTAAATGTGTCATCTGCGACGACGGCGACTGCGAGAACACCAACGCGATCGTCTTCTGCGACGGGTGCAACCTGGCCGTCCACCAAGAATGCTACGGGGTGCCATTCATCCCCGAGGGCCAGTGGCTCTGTCGAAAGTGCCAGCTGTGCGGGCGCGGCGTGCCTACCTGCATCTTCTGCCCCAACACGGACGGCGCCTTCAAGCAGACCAACTCATCGAAATGGGCACATCTGCTCTGTGCCATGTGGATCCCCGAGATCTCACTGGGCAACCACACGTTCATGGAACCGGTCATGGACGTCGAAAAGGTGCCCAAGACGCGGTGGAAGCTCAACTGCTACATCTGCCGGCAGAAGATGGGCGCGTGCATACAGTGCAGCAACAAGAACTGCTACCAGGCCTTCCACGTCACCTGCGCCCGGCGGTCGAGGCTCTACCTTAAGATGAAGACGAGCCACGGCGCGCTGGCCGTGCTGGACGGCAGCATGGTCCTCAAGGCGTTCTGCCACAACCACTGCCCGCCGGACTATACGATAGAGAATAACATCCACCAAGCCACCCGCGCGGCCAAGAAGTTTTACAAGCGCAACATGCGCGGCCGCATATGGGCGGACAACCAGGCCATGGCGAATGTGCTCGCTGCTCAGCATAGGGTTGCCATCACGGACCATTCCGCCAACGACGGCCAGGCACCGGGCAGGAACTCGGCCATGCTCGGCTACGGCGCCGACGAGCAGACCGGCCAGGGCCAGCCGCCCAAAAACCTGTGGAAGCTGCCCTCTGGTGCGCCCATCATTCCCCAAGCCGTGTATGACGTGGTCGAGGCGTCGATCCAGCGGTTCCCGTTTCGAAAGCGCAAGGACTTCCTGGGCGAGGCCTGCCGGTACTGGACGCTGAAGCGCGAAGCGCGGCGCGGCGCGGCGCTGCTGAAGCGGCTGCAGCTGCAGATGGAGGCCTTCTCGTCGATGGAGTTGACTAGGCGTGACTTTGCGTCGATGGGCCCCAGCGGGAGGACACGGCTGGCGCGGCGCATCGAGTTCGCGGAGAACATCGTCAAGGACCTGGAGCGGCTGAAGGAGCTGTCCGAGGACGTCGTGCGGCGCGAGGAGCTGCGCGTGGAGGCCGTCGAACTGGAGAACGACTTCGTCGACGAGTGCTACTTTCCGGTGGCGAAGATGCTGGAGCCCGCGATGGAGAAGGCCATTTCGCTCGACAAGGAGCTGTTCGAGAAGGGCCTGGAAGGCGTCTCGGCGCGCGTCGAGCGGCGGCACTACACCACCGTGATGCTGTTCGCCCAGGACCTCTGCGAGGTGATCAGTAAGGGCATCCGCACATCGCCGCCGGACGACGAGAGCAGCAGCGCATCGGGCTCGCGCTTCGAGGGCGGCGGCGCCAACACGTCGCTGTCAAGGCCGAGCTTCCTCGACATCCGCGAGCGCCGCAAGCTCGGCAAGCGGATCCTCAAGAGCGTGCAGCCCTTCCTGGAGGGCGCGCTCAAGGTGGAGGCGGTGATTGGCAACAAGGCGCCGGAAGCGCTGGTGGCGGAGCTGGAGGCGCTGATCGAGGCGAGCCTGGACACGTCGAAGCCGGCGGAGGTGACGAGCGAGGACACGGTGATGGTTGATGTGCAGGACGCGCCGGAGGAGATTACGGTGAAGAGCCTGGTGGTCGAGAACGTCGCCGAGTATGACGGGCCGGATGCGATGGACACGGCGGAGGACGAGGTCGTGCACGATAACCCCGAGGTGGAGTCGTCGGGCCTGGGCATCGTGGACGCGACGACGCTGGCGGCAGCCAACTCGGACAAGAACCTGAAAGCGGCGGCGACGACGACGCGAGGGGTGGGCTCATTATCCTCGGCGACCCCAGACGACGACGGCGGCGGCAGCGGCAACGACTACGCCGCCGCCCTGGACCAGCAGCATCAAAAGGGCCCCCCCACACCACCGCAGTCCAACGGAAGCCTAGGCGGGCGGCGGGACCACCACCACCATCCCGCGGATCCGCTGACCGATGGCGGCGTCCTGTGGCATGTCCAGTGCTTCGAGCCGCGGGGCACCTCGGCGCTGCTGGAGAGCGCGGCGGGGGTCGTCGTCGGCGGCTTCGACGCGGCGAGGCTGCTCAGTGAGGACCTGACGGACCTGGACGAGGTCGAGCTCAAGGGTCGGGGGGCCGACATGGCGCTTGATGAGGCGGAGGTGGCGGCGGAGCCGGAGAGGAGGACTAGGAGCAGCAGGACGAAGACGGGCACTACTCCGCCGTCGCCGCCGCGGGCGCGCCGCACGTCGGCTAGGCACAGATCGTGAATCGGAAGGCGCGTCGAGCGTGTTGTTTATGAAGGAGGGCAATTAACTGTACCACCACACTTCCATGGCATACCCCTTACAACTTTTACTTGTACCCCCACGGACTTTTCTGTTTGCTTTTTTCCTCTTTCGTGTTTTTATATAGGGGGAACAGGCATAGATACCATGCCTCACGGGCGTCTGACACGCAGCTTTTATTCTTATCTTATTCAGCTTCATCTATCTATCGTTGTGCTATAGCATGCAGTTCGCACACGCTGCTCGCAACGAAGGGCTTCCTTCGTGTTGAAGTCGCCGTCGTTTTTTTCGTTTTCGCTTCCATCCTGTTCGCTACGTAAATTCAGGACGCCTTTTCTACAGCATTGCCTTGTTTTTCCTTCACTCGAACCGTACGTTTTATGCATGGCATTTCCTCAAATCGAGGCTGATAGCAATGGACGAACATGATGGTGACTTTAGGAATTTGGTTTTTTTTTTTTTTTTTTTTTGTTCTCGCAGCACTAATGAACTTGTCAATTTTAATAAGAGACAGAGAAGAAGAAAAGAAGAATGAATCTAATTTGTCCTCTCTTGCTCTGTGGGCTGGTGCAACGGCCAAAAGTGGCAAGCCGAAGCAATCTCGTGGAGCTCCCATCACGAGGCGCGGCAGCCATGCAGGCAATTTACAATGTATGTCGGTACATATGGAAGCAGGTTCCCCATGGCGCGGTTCTCTTGATTCGTTCCTAATTCGACCCCCTAACATGCGAATATATCATAATGGGGACCGGATGGCTTCTTCTGTGTATGCTCCTTTTTTCACTGGTCCCCTCTAGGTTGGCTCGCATTGCATCCATGTTCGATGGGGGGCCATGCACCTCTGCCTTGGATCTTGCATTTGAACAATTTTTTTTTTTTTCGCTGGCGGCAAGGTCTTCTTCCTTGCTGCTTTTCCTCTTCCTTAGGCCAAAAACCGCCAGGATTATAGGATGTGACTAGACAAGACATTTTCATAGGTAGCAATTTAGAGTTTCTCCTCTTGGCAGGCGAGTCTCCGCGTCGGATAAGTTTTCCGACCCGACTTGCTCGTGCGTCCGTCCCGCCGAGTCCTATAAGTTGGATCTATTATATACCGGCTCTTTAGTTTGGTCAAGGATGTATAGGTAAAAGAAAAAAAGTCAGACAATATTGAAGCTTTGGCCAAGATGGAGGGGCTGTTGGGCATCTACAAGATGACCACTGCAGCGCCTTTTCTCCAACCGTCTCTTCCTATTCTTGTCCAATTTTTTTGCGAACGGTGGGGACGGAAGGAGGTGATTGTTGCTGCCCAACAGGGAGACGAAAGGCAAAAAGTCGACGATTCAGGACAATACCGGTGGCTAACAAGTAACACAAATTGAAGGGAAGAGAGCCGATGGGTGGCGAGGGGTTTCAGGGTACCACACTCCATGACGCAAGATCAGCAACCAGAGATGTGCGCGAGTCGATGCAGAGACGAGGCGGTGGGAGCGCGCAAATCTTTTGGTGGAGGGGACTTGCCTTGCGGCTGCTGTTCGTTGGTTGGCTGCCGAGTTATGAGAAGTTGCTGGGCGAATGATTCTGTGCAGGCAGTTAAGTTGTAAAGTGACGTACATACATCGTGGAGGGAGGGTGGATGACTGGTGCTTGTCACTGCAGTTTGATGCAAGTAATGCGAGGAGGGGGCCCTTATAGTGGCGTCATACAGCGTCTATTAGAAACGACAGCCGTGCCAATAAGTGTCGCGCGTCGGGCATAAAAGCTGATTGAGTGACGGCTCCCCGAAGTATCATGGAGGACCAGAAGAAAAGGCGAAGAGAAGAGAGGCAATCGCAGGGGGTCCTGCTGCCCAAGGCCGTGCAGGTCGGAGCGATGGAAAGAGGTGAGAGCCCAAGGGCGGGTTTTTGAATTGCCCTTGACGAGTTTAGCGAGACAGGGCAAATATGAAAAGGAAGAAGAAAAAGAAGAAGAAAAGACCAAGCGTTCGTTCTTGTTCCTTGTCTGGTCGATTTTCCAGGATCCCTGGTGTTCAGCAGCTCCAAGCCACACTCCCCCTCCGCAGTAGGCGGGCGCTAGGTGGGCACCAAGGTGCAAGGAGGGAGGGGCGGCGGCGGCCCAGGGACGGCGGAGACGGTCTAGATTGAATATGTAGTGAATAGAGGCAATACCTTTTGGTAGTCTATTATTATGGGAGGCCGAACAAACGTTCCGGGCATCCGGCAGGTTGCGTGGCGGATGTGTCATGATGCTAAGGGAAGAGAGGTCGGTGTCGAGGTAGGCGGCAAGCAGCAGCAGCAGAAGGGGTGGGCATAGATAGTGACGACTGTCTGCAGACGGGGCTGAACGCCCAAAGTCTAATCCGTAGAATCCTTGCATACAACATACGTACGGATACGGGTTTGGCAGCGATTCTTTCGTAGAGACAGAATAGCTGCGTTGGTCCAGTCGGGAGACATTTTGATGGACGGGGCGTGCGTGAAAGCGGACAGGCAAGGCGATCGTGGGTGTCGCGTGCCAATCAGGCCACCTATAGGAACCCGGCGTGTCAGCAATTGTCAGGACGAGACGTGGATGCGGTGTGACTGTGGTTGTGATGATGATGCTGCAGAGGAGGTGGCATTGACAGCCTGGAGGAAGGAGGGGGAGGCGGGCGGTTGGGTTGTTTGTGGCCGTTGTTCAACGGCGGAGATCTGGCGATGCAGGTAGGTAGTTGGGTATCCGCGGCTACTTATGCAGACAATTTGTGTAATGGGAAGAGCTTGCTTGTCTGCATATCTAGATGTTCGTGATGATGATGACCGCAGGATGTTGAGTGTGTCGCTTGCCCGTATTGCCATTGACTGCCGGGTTCCATGCTTGCTTGCATGGATCATGGCTTGGCTTGGCTGCCCCAGAGTTCTAACGCAGTGTGAGTGGACGCTAAAAAAAGACTGCAAAATGGCCCAACAGGCTCTAACCTGCTAAAAATCTGCGCTAACCTTGGCCCGCCCGTCGCCTTGCTTGCCGCTGTTGTTGCTTGCGCCCTGGCCCCTTGCTTGAACTCTCTCTTTGGCTGGCTGATATTACCGAGCACCACCACTCCTCGGCCGCGTAAAAAAAAACGTACCAAGGCAGAGGAACAAAGGCAAAAAAGGCAAAAAAGTACTCCCCCCCTCCACCTCCTCCTCCTCCTCTTCACCAAAGCCGACTCTCCCTCTTCTTTCCTCCCGCGACATCTCAACGGCGACAATTCTATTCTGTCCTCTTCTCCCAGAAAAGCGACAAACACGGCGACCGCGTCCATCCACGACGCAACATCCTTGATCCCTTTGTTTTTCCTCCCCGGAATAACAGGAAATAACGCGACTTGGTTTTCTCTTCGAAACCACAACACGGCGACATTCCACGAGTCTTTCCAGTTCCCATACTGAAGCTCCTGGCGACACAAGACAAAAGCCTGCAACAACAATCTTTCTGTTTTGCAGCAACACGGCGAACACGGCGGGCCTCTGAATCCTCGCCTCTCTCCCGATTCCCCAAGACCATCCCAGCGGAAAATACCTTGCGAGCCGTACAATTTTTGTTGTGCATCGCCCACCACTAGAGCATCAGCTGCTCTTTTCTGCTCATTGACTTGACGCGCGCCCTTTTCCGTCCTCACTTTTTTACGAGGTGAGTCTGCACTGTTTTTTACTACGCCTGTCGCGCTTTGCCCCCCTCTTCAGCAGACATACAGGCGCTCTCACTCTCTCTGCCACCCTCCCCTCCCCGTTACGCCTACCAACTCGCCCCTCAACACCACAATTTTTTTCGCCGCGCCCCCGTGGCCTTTGCCTTGCCGTCAGCGCGCGCCATTCCGTACCATTCCGTCGCTCACCATTTCTCTGCAATTCTACTTTTGCGACTTCAATTTCATCATTTTCCCCATCCTTCCTTGTCAGCCCGCGTATTCTCTGGCTTTTTTTTTTTTTTTTTCACTTGTCCCTCTTCTGCTGCCCGCATTGGTAATGCGCTTGCTAATCGACAACCCCCCTCATACAGATTGCCACCGAGGCCATTGATTTCCTCGCCAAGCGCATCAACTGTCCAGCCTGCTCCTCTTTTTGCTGTTGCAGCTGACAGCTATCCTTCGCTCCGTCTTTCCCGCGACAATAGAGCTTTCCCGGCCTCTCTGCCTCCTGGAGTTCCTCTTCGCTCGGCAAGCATCGTCATTTCTCAATAGCCCGGCCCTGCCGCGCCGCTTCCGCGTAACCCTTTCCGCTCTCCTCTGCTGGCAACCCCTGGCCATAGGGAACCGACCGCAATGGCCGACCAACACGATGTCGACCTCGACTCCATAATCGATAGACTTCTCGAGGTCCGAGGCAGCCGTCCCGGTAAGCAGGTGCAGCTGCTCGAATCCGAGATTCGCTACCTTTGCACCAAGGCTCGCGAGATTTTCATCTCCCAGCCTATTCTTCTTGAGCTCGAGGCTCCCATCAAGGTATGCTCCTGCTCGCCATTCTCACACCCTTCCCCACCATCTGCCTACTAACATGTGGCTCCCAGATCTGCGGCGATATCCATGGCCAGTACTACGATCTCCTCCGCCTTTTCGAATATGGTGGCTTCCCTCCCGAGGCCAACTACCTCTTTCTCGGTGACTACGTCGACCGTGGCAAGCAGTCGCTCGAGACCATCTGCCTTCTCCTCGCCTACAAGATTCAGTACCCCGAGAACTTCTTCATCCTCCGCGGCAACCACGAGTGCGCCTCGATCAACCGCATCTATGGCTTCTACGACGAGTGCAAGCGCCGTTACAACATTAAGCTCTGGAAGACCTTCACTGACTGCTTCAACTGCCTGCCTATTGCTGCTATCATTGACGAGAAGATCTTCACCATGCACGGCGGTCTTAGCCCAGACCTCAACTCCATGGAGCAGATCCGTCGTGTCATGCGTCCCACTGACGTGAGTTACCAGCCATGGGCCCCATCCGCACTTCAATCCTGACTTCTCCCCAGATTCCCGACTGCGGTCTCCTCTGCGATCTCCTCTGGTCTGATCCCGACAAGGACATTACTGGATGGAGCGAAAACGATCGCGGTGTCTCCTTCACCTTTGGCCCAGATGTCGTGTCGCGCTTCCTCCAGAAGCATGACATGGACCTCATCTGCCGTGCTCATCAAGTCGTCGAGGACGGCTACGAGTTCTTCTCCAAGCGCCAGCTTGTCACACTCTTCTCTGCTCCCAACTACTGCGGCGAGTTTGACAATGCCGGTGCCATGATGAGCGTTGACGAGAGCTTGCTGTGCTCGTTTCAGATTCTCAAGCCCGCCGAGAAGAAGCAGAAGTGAGTTTGCTTTTCTACTAATTATCTGCCATGCCAGGAGCCATTTTCTGACCACGAATTTTCAGGTTCGGTCGTCGCTAAACCCGATGCTTCTATCACTGTGCAACCCGCTTAGCCGTCTCGAAACTGGTCGGGCCGCGTCCGCAAGGACGCCCGGTCTCCATGCTCTCACCAAGCCGCAACTCTACGTTGCGCCCCTCTTTCCCCGTCCTATCCTCTGCCTGCCGCCGCATCCCGAGTCTCGGACGTGATTTGTCGCCCATGTCTGGATTCACCATGTCGCCGCTTTTATGCCAGAGATGAACCTTGTCGCTAATGTAACCCAAAAAATCCAAATGCTTGATAACGACACGGCTGTTTCCTAGCTTCACTGATATAAAATTTACAAAAAATTATTCATCTACCAACTGTCTCACTTACTGTCAATCATTCATTGTATGCATGCACTTCCAACCCAGTACGGAGAGAGAAGAAGGCTATCGCCCATATCTCTCAGACTCGACAATGCGCATCCGTATACTTCCCATTCTCACCGCGGACGTTCATTTACTTGCAGTCCTCGCATTCTTTGCCAGCCTCCCCCGTCTTGTTTGTCTTCTTCGTCTCCTGCGTCTCCGTGACAGTCGCAGTCGCAGCCGCAACAGCCGGCGCCGTTGGCCGCGCGTGATCCCGATCGACGTGCCCCAGGTCCCTGCCCGGCTCGATCACGTCCCGCACGCGCCTCTTGAGCTCCTTGGTCTCCGGGAACCCGCCGTCGACCTTGCGATCCCACAGCACCACGCCGGCGTCCCACAGCACCCCCTTCCCCTCGCCGCTGGCGTCGGCGTCACCGCGCTGGGCGGTGACGGTGACGACAAAGGTGCCCCCCGTGGACGGCTGCAGCGCGACCTCGCCGAGGCCGGTGGAAAAGGTGGACAGCAACTCCTGCGCGTACTACGAACTCAGCTGGTCAGCCCGCATCTTCCTGTTTGTTTTGTGCGTTTCTACTCTTCTTGTCTCTTGACTTCTTGCAAAAACTTTGGGCAAACATAAAAACAAGAAAAAAGAAAAAACAAAAAAAAAAAAAAAAAAAAAAAGTGGAGGGAGCAGGTTACTTGTGAATGATCGGCGGAAATGATGAAACTCACGTAGGCGGCGCGAAGGAGCCATTTACACTGCGTGCAATACTCAATGGTGACGCGGGGCAGCCGTTGTCGCCCAGCCGGCGCCGGCGCCGTCGTTGTCGTTGTCGCCGTCGTCGCGGACTCGTCGGTCATTATGATTAAGCTCTGATTGCCCTGTTGCGCTTTCCCAGGTCCTCTCTCGAAGACGACTTGTGTGGTGGTGGAGGAGTGACAGAGACAAAAGGCGTTCGGGAGGCTGATGACGGTGTTTGCTTTCCCCACACAATATCGGGAGTGAGGGAGGGGAGATGCGGATATGCTGGCGTCCTTTCGCGCTAAACAAACATCAACATGGCATTGTATTGGAGAGAAAAGAAAAACTAAGGGGTCAATTGGTGGTTATAATCAAAAAGAAAAACTCGAGGCATGCGGGCAATCAATCAGCATGTATGTGGTCGGGCTGTCAATCACTCCATCACACAATCACTACTGGAGCTCACCAACGCAGCACCAAGGCGTCACAGACCGCGGGTTGCATCGCGCCTGCATACGTCTAGTTAGTTAGACACAGCATTCCCATACCGCATGGCGTCACTGAAATTTTTGCTTTTTCTTCTTCTTTTGATGCTGCAGAGGACAATGTGATGTGATGAATAACAATTCAAGAAAATGGGCAAGAAATAATACATACTTGAGGATCCCAACTTCCCTTGACGAAGAATCCTCTAAATTACCCTTTCCGCTTCCTCTGCTATTTCTTCTGAAGTCCCTCCCATCTCCAGCAGCAGTGAAATGACCAGGAAATAGAAATATAAAAACGGGTGACAGAATCTACCACAAATAAAAAACATGTCGTTCATGTTGCGCAGCCTTTTCTTTTCGCCTTCGTCCATGCCCTCTCTTCTGATATTACAAAGGGTGCCAACGCCAAGCCGAGAAAAGGAAGAAAAAACCGAGGCAAAAAAGAAAAAAACGATAAAACAAAGAGAAACATGCGGTGTGTATATATCTGCCAGATTCGAGTGACACTGGCTGATGAGCAGCGAAGCGGGTATCTCGCACACCTTGTTCGGTTCCAGTCGTGGATAAATGCGTAATCTCGGACATCGGATATGGTGACAATCGGCCGCCAGGATAGTTTGAATAGACAGGGGCTTCGACAATCCCTCCTTTTCGAGTCATCCGAATTGATCGGGCGCGGTTGGTAGCCTCGTCCGTTCGACGAGCGAATTACATGACAACGCAGCAGCCGCCAGATTGTTGTGGTGCATAGGGGTCCTCGCCCTTTGCGACGGAGCCCCAAACTGACGGCACCATGTAGTCCCTCGTGCCGTTGCAGTAGGCAATGATGCTGCCAAACATGTCAGCGGTGTTGTCCCAGCCACCGGCGGCCCGTCGCGTTCGTCCTCACCTTCTCGAAGCAGTGCTGACGGGAATGCGCTCGCGTTCAAGATCCTCACGCAGACGGTTGTTAAGCTCGGTTAACCTGCGCAGCTTGAGGTCGGCCATGGACTGCTTGTTCTTTTTGAACTGCGCCGTGTCACCGTCTCGCGTAGCGTACTGAGGCATCGTCGTGGGAGGAGCGGAGAGTCGACGTCAAGGGATCGTAACGAACTGAGAAGGGGGGAAGAGCAAGGCGTCGCAGAAAATGTGACGTCTTTCGTTCTGTGATGATAGCAGACTCGTCAGTACTCGGTTTCGTTTCCCTTGGCTCGCAATTCAATGCGCCCGTTTGTGCGGGGGCGTGGCGTTGGTCGAGGCGTGAAGCTTAGGAGCGGCTATATCGGGCGCGCAAACGACGGTGAAAACGGGCAACAACAGGGCGCAACGCCGACGAAAACTACGAGTGTCGATTGGATCCAACGGTCGATGAGATTCGTCAAGGCGAGCCGTTTGGTCGTGTTGTCTTGGTGGGCAGGCTGAGATGTGTTTTCTCGTGGGTGTGTGTCCGAACTCCTGAAATCTCCACCAGGGGGCCGCTCTTGGGGCTGACGGGGAGCACAAGACAGAGCCCGTCACGCACGTCTTGCATCAATCGTCGCAATTAAAACAGAAAACGAACTTACAGAATAGCTGAAACAGACGCTTGGGATGCCGGTGTGGGCAGCAACACGACGCGGGGACAGCAAACCGGCTGGCAAGGAGGGGAGGGTGAGAAAAACGAGAGAGGACGTTGGTGCGGGAGGGGAGGAAGAGAGGGAGGCGAGAGAAGAGGGAAATGGCGATGTACATAAAACGGTCTGCATATGATTGGGGAAGAGGCTAGCGGCCTTTTGTTTTAGGGGGGTTTTTGGGGGGGGAACTTTGGAGGGGATTTCTTGGGGGTGCCGAGCAGACAGCAACCGAAGTGAAGCTGGAGCTGTCCACAGGACCACAGTCCACTGCCGTCAGCCAGCTGGCGGGTACCTCGCCGGCGGGTTGCTAGGGGGGCAGGTACCAAAGACGGCTGCTCTGACAGTGCCGGTACAAGGATGCTAGCACAGTTTGAAAGTGGAGGCAGGCTCCCACTAGAGGTGGTCCAGGTGGCTTCCTCTTGCTTTTTATTACTGGAGAATGGTACAGATTACTGGGAGGCAGCTGCGAGCCTGGCGGCAGCCAAGCAGGTCAGTCAAGCGCTCCCTTTGGCTGGACACCTACCTACAGGATGGTTCGTGCACCTGTGCACGGAAATTGGGACAGCTGCTAATAACAATAGCGGCCACTGAGCTTGCATCTTGCGGTCGTTTACGAGTCCAGTACATTTATCCGCGGATGCCAGACAGGTTAGAAATTCAGACGCATTGCCCGCTTCTACCAAGATGTTATTGGAACACCACCACGGAGAAAATTAGCTTTTTGTCAATGCAGAGCACCAATGGCTACCTGCTGTCCCGTTCTACTAAGCTCAAGTATTCCCACCTGGCTATAACTGAGGTATTCCTAGATTTGCGCTATTGACGCCCATCCACAGTCCGGCTTGGTTCTGCTATCCACACCCATATCTGCTGCTTACCAGCAGCTGCACTTGATCCTGCGCCGTCTTGGCTGAAGCTCTGACCTGGCTCTGTCCATAACCGTAGCTCTCAAAGAGTCTGCAAATGGGTGGAACAAATATTCTGCGATTGATTCTCTAGCTATTTTAACAGTATTATGTAAATTCATCAATCTGCCAAGATCGGCACTGTTTCTGCAACAGCTATTACGCCTTCTCCATCTGTTCCGCCGCTATTGCGTAGGTACGTATGTATCATCATGTATTGAATAGGTTGCTTATTCTTCAGGACACTGTTCCGTTCTGCAGCGCACCACCCTTGTACCTCTTGTGTAATGCGCCCTCCCCCATACGTATCGTTGCGTTCCTTTTACTGCATTGGGCTGGCCACAAGCCGGCTGTCGCCTTCATGTCAGAATGGTGCAATTGCTGTGCCACCTGATACAACTTTGAATGGGTATACTCGTCATAACCAAAGGCGAGTGACTTTGCATGCGAGAATGTGGCAATATAGTGTCGCCAACCGCCCCATCCCACCATCCTTCGCCCCAAGCAGCCATATCTGACGCTTGGTATACGCGCTCAGCATGAAATCTGCTGCACATCGTATTTGCGCATGTTCCTTAATCACCCGTGTCAATCTCCAGATCCAGCTGCACGCCATTCGAAATGCCATAGTCGGCCAAGCTAATGGGATCCTTGAATGGCCGCTCGCCTTGGCGGCGCAGCATAATTTGCCCCGGCTCCCGACCAATACGCGCAGCAATCATGAGCTTCAGCTGGCCGATAGTGTCGTCAGGAAGGCACGGTACCGCTGTCTTCGTGCCGAGCCGGTCGTTGATGTGAACCACGATAAGTTCCTTGCCGGCAAGAGATGCGACCTTTTTAGACTTTTTTTCCTTTTTGCTGTCGTCGCTTCGCTTCTCTTTGGTAACTTTGTCGTCCGGGCTGCGCCGGCGGGCTTCGTCTCGTCGGCGCGACCTATCACGGCGAGGGGAGCGCTCGCGGTCTCGATCGCGGTACTCGCGGTTTCGGTCCTGATCTCGAAAGTCTCTGTCGCGCCCGTTGCGATAATCTTGGCGGTCACTTCGTCTGTCATCCCTCCGGTCGTCTCGGCGGCCGTCTTGGCGATCATCCCGAGCATCTCCCGATTTTTTCTCCTTCCACCTGAATCCTCCACTGCCCTTTGGTGCCCGACGCGGCGATCTCGAGCGAGACCTCGGCCTCGAATGGTCAGCCATGACTACGCAGAGATTTTGTGACTTGCATGTGAAGTGTCCAAGATTGGCTTGCACGTCGATAAACCCAGGCAAGAACCCAGGCCTCAAAAGTCACGTGATCCACTCCCTTCTCACAATTAACAGCGCCCTACTAATTATAAACACCAGCATCGTACCGTACGTAGAAAGAGAATTGGGTGATACCATATATTCGAGCCTAGAAAGACATCTAGAACTGTCTCTTCTTTTTTCACTAGATAGCCGCGGCGCATTGTTGCAAGATCCCCGTCACGCAGGCTGGTGAAGTTACAGAACCAGACGGGACGACCATGGCTAGGACTATCCAGAGATTCTACGCAGCTACACGTCCAAAGTTGTCATCCGTTCATCTTGGGATTTCACAGTATAATTGACATTGGTTATCGCAACATGGCCCTCTAAGTAAACGTCTTTCCTGTACTGTACAGCCGTACATGGGCACTCATGGAAGAAGTCATCGACTGGGGACCGTACAAACTAAACCACGTGACTGCCCATGCTCCGTAGCCCCTCAGTGCTCGCATAGCGTCCACACACGAAAATGAAAAATTCGTCTCAGTGCTAGGCTTCACAGAGAGTGCCACGCCAGAGCCATTTTATCGACAAATCTTGGCTCGCGACGGCAACTCAAAGAACCAACTTCACCTCTTCTTGCAAAAGCAACCTGATAGAGGAAGTTGCCCATCATGGTGCGTCTCGCCGCGTCGCGGTCGCCCTCACCCGCGTCGACTCCCTTTATGTAGTTCTACCCCTCCCCGTCGAGATGCTAACTCGCGCTTCATTTCAACAGCCGCCTCCACCGCACCAAAAGCCCGAAAATGTGCTGAAGCGCGCTCACGAGCTTATCGGGGTCGGTCAGCCCCCGGCGGCTCTGACTCTGCTTCACGAGCACATCACCAGCAAACGCTCCCGAAATGTCCCCATCGCGTCGCTCGAGCCCGTTATGCTCCTCCTGGTCGAACTGTCCGTCGAACAGAAGAAGGGAAAACTCGCCAAGGACGCCCTTTATCAGTATAAGAATATCTCCCAAAACACGAATATTGCGACCATCGAGGTTCGTGAGCCGATATACCCCGCGATTCGACCTTGATCGCGTCGCTAACGCACATGCAGCTCGTCCTCAAGAAATTCATCCAGCTCGCCGTCAACAAGGTCACTGCTGCGCAGCAGAAGGCCGACGAAGTTCAGTCCAGCCTCGAGGCCACCGCTGGCGGCGAATCTAACGTTGAAGATTTGGAGGCTACCGAGACTCCTGAGTCCATTCTCCTCGCCACCGTCTCCGGCGAGCAGTCTCGCGACCGCACTGACCGCGCCATCGTCACCCCTTGGCTCAAGTTCCTTTGGGAAGCATACCGCACCGTTCTCGATATTTTGCGCAATAACGCCCGCCTCGAGATCCTCTACCAGAGCACCGCCTCCCAGGCTTTCGACTTCTGCTTGAAGTACACCCGCAAGACCGAGTTCCGAAGACTCTGCGAGCTTCTCCGCAACCATGTTCAGACCGCCGCCAAGTACTCTTCTCAGATGCACGCCATCAACCTCAACGATGCCGACACTCTGCAGCGCCATCTTGAGACACGCTTCCAGCAGCTGAATGTTGCTGTTGAGCTGGAGCTCTGGCAGGAGGCCTTCCGCAGTGTGGAAGACATCCATACTCTGCTCAACCTCAGCAAGCGCCCTCCGAAGAACATCATGATGGCCAACTACTACGAGAAGCTTACCCGCATCTTCCTCGTCGGCGAGAACTACCTGTTCCACGCTGCCGCTTGGTCCAGATACTACAACCTGCTCCGCCACTCCGCGGTTCTCGTGGCTTCTGGCCAGGGCAAGAAAGCCGACAACCCGCCTGCCACCGAGGCTGACCTCCAGAAGGCCGCATCTTTCGTTCTTCTGTCTGCCCTCGCCATTCCCGTTATCAGCACGTCTCGCTCCCGTGGCGCCATGGTTGACTTTGACGAGGCCCGCAAGAACAAGAACTCGCGCCTGACTCACCTGCTTGGCATGAGCCAGGCTCCTACGCGTGCCCGTCTCTTCCGTGACGCGCTCTCCAAGTCCCTTCTCCAGCGCGTTCGTCCTGAGATCAAGGAGCTCTACAACATCCTTGAGGTTGACTTCCACCCTCTGTCCATTTGCCAGAAGATCTCTCCTATTCTGAGCAAGATTGGCGCTGATGCCGAGATGGAACGCTATATCCTTCCTCTGCAGCAGGTCATCCTCACACGCCTGTTCCAGCAGCTCTCCCAGGTCTACGATACCGTCGATCTTGAGTTCGTTCAGTCTCTTGCTCAGTTCCCCGAGCCTTTCCAGATCACCCGTGGCACCATCGAGAAGTTCATCATGAACGGAAACAAGAAGGGTGACCTCGCCATTCGCATGGACCATGCTACTGGTGTGCTCAGCTTTGACAGCGACATCTTCTCCTCTTCCAAGGCTGGCCACAGTGGTTCTGCTGCCGGCTCCGCTGAGACCGATGGTGGTGCTGTCCAGCGTCTCCAGAGCACCCCCTCTGAGATCGTCCGATCTCAGCTCACACGCCTCGCCAGAGCCCTCTTCACAACTTGTCATTACATTGATCCTGAGTTCAACAAGGAGCGGCTTGCTGCCCGCAATGCCGCGCTCAGCCGTGCCAAGGCAGGGGCTGAAAAGGAGCACCTGGCCATCCTTGCCCGCAAAGATGTTATTCACAAGCGTAAGGAGGAGGCATCCGAGGCCCAGGCCCGCAAGGAGAAAGAGAACGCCCGCCAGAAGCGTCTCAAGGAGCAGGCTCTCCAAGAGGCCGAGGACAAGCGTTTGGAGAATGACCAGAGAGAGCGTGAAGCCAGACGTCTTAAAGAGGAGCGTGACAAGGTCCGCAGGGCCGAGGTTGAGCAGCAGATTAAGGAACTCAAGATGGACGGCAAGCGTCTCGACATTGATCTGGACGATATTGACAACCTTGATACGAACCGTCTGCGTGAGATCAAACTGAGCCAGCTGGAGCGCGAGAAGCACGACGTGAAGGAGAAGCTTAGAGTCACCGGCAAGCGTATCGACCATCTGGAACGTGCCTACCGCAAGGAGGAAGGCAAAAAGTTGGCCGAGGACTACGAGAAGCAGTGCGAGCACGACCGTGCCATCTACGATAAGACCACTGCCAAGAAGCTCAAGGATTCCGAGGAGCTGCATAAGGCCAATGTCGAGCTCAAGCACCGCTTGACCAGACTCGTCTCTACATATGAGTCCTTCAGGAGCAACCTGCATGAGCGTCGCCGTGACGAGTTCGAGAAGCGCCGCCGCGATGCGGAGAAGGAGCTCGAGAAACAGATTGCAATGCGCAAGAAGGAGTTCCGTGATCGCAAGCTGCGCGAGAAGCGTGAGCGCGAAGAAAAGGAGAGAGAACTCCGCGAGGCCGAGGAGCGTGCTGCTCGCGAGAAGGAGGAGCAGCGCCAGCGCGACGAGTCCCGCAAGGCCGAGCTGGCCAAGCTCAAGGAGCAGCGTGATAAGGAACGTCAGGAGATGCTCGAGAAAGCGGCACTTCAGCAACGTCGCGAGGAAGAGGCTCTCGCTCGCCGCAAGGCTGAGAAGGAGCGTCCTCTACGCGGCGCCGAGCCCGCCTCCGGTGACAGCGAGAGCCGCAGACCCCCCGCAATCGGCGCCGGCAACTGGCGTGAGAGAGAAGCTTCCAAGAATGCCGCCGCCGCCGCTACCGCTACCGGAGGCCGCACCATGGAGCGAGCCGACTCGCAGGACCGCCCCTCTGCTGGCGGCCCGCCCCGTCTCAACCTCGCAGGCAACAAGCCCAGCTGGCGCGACCGCCAAGCGGCCAAGGAAGCCGCTGGTGAGACCTCGGAGAGCGCTCCCCCCCCCAGAAACTTGCCTCCCCGCAACTTCTCCGGCCGCGGCGCCCCCATGGACCGCGGCGGCTCATCTCGCGGTGACGATGCCCCCCCTGGACGGGGCGAGCAGCAAGACTCTGCGCCATCTGAGCAGCTTCCTCCCCGCACCGCCAACAAGTGGGTTCCTCCCCATATGCGCGGCAAGGCGTAAGCGGTCTGTTTGTCATTTTCTCCTTTACAAAAAACTATGACGGAAATAGCAAAGCATTTTGTTTTTGAATCAGTTTTTTTCTTTTTTTATTTATTTCGCGAGAGAGACGGGAAACGGGAAGAAGAGAGAAGAGGCTACCTCAAAAAATTGCACAACGGCGTTTTGGGCATTTTTGCGGGGGAATCATGAACGATGCAAACTGGATGTACTCTATGAATTGACGTTGTAATTACTGCCAGCGGTCTTGTACGAGGGACGGGGCAGGAGCACAGCCAGATGGAAGATATAAAGCGAAAAAAAAAAAGAATAAAATGGTTGACTTTTAACACTGTTCGTGTGAGCCTGCATGTGCAACAAGTCATGACCTATCCTGACTGATAAAAATCTACATTCATCCTGCTCATGAGAATTGTCTGTCCGCGTCTCTTTTCTGACGTTGTCTACGCGAGAAGCTATGCAAATGGTAAAGCAGCAGAGATGATGCTACACAAACGTCCGTGTACGTCAGGCAGAAGGGCATGCATGCATGAAGGCCGGGGAGGGCATCTGCGCGGCGCCGCATGACGCCGACGCTGCCGCAGGACGTGCACTTTGACAACCCCCCTGAGGCAGAGGGCAACTCCGGGTCGTTTGCGGTCGACTTGCCACCCTGTATCGCAAGATCAAGGCCCTGTGGCTCAGCCGCAATCAGTAACAACGTTGGAAGTTCAGTTGAGCTGTCGAATGAGGGTGTGAAGGGATGGCCTGCTTTTTCCCCTCTCATGCATGTCTCTACGACAATAATGCAAGCTAAACTCACCCTTGCGAGGCTACGAGGGCACGGGTGCGCGTTTTTTCTTCCTTCAATCCTCCTCAGCCTCCCACACGCCAAGGAGTTCAACAATGGCCAGCTGAGAATCCTTCCTCCCCCGATGCTAGCCCGCGCCACGACAGATGCGCGCCCGCCCCCGGCTGCCCTCCCCCCCCCTTCTGGGAGGGTGTCATCGACGTCCCGAGAGGCAGAGCGAGGAGCCTAGCGTAGAGGCCAGGCCCTTTAGCATCCATGCAATTGAGGGGCTAGAAAATAAGCAGGACTCTGGCAGGTGGCGAGGCAGCTGTCGGAGAGAGTAAAGGAGCCGGGCAGGCCAGCACGGGAAGATGCAAACAGCCGGCGGCAGATCCGGGGGGCCGGCCGAGCTTGGCAGGCGAGAAAGAGAGCACAACTGTGAACCACGACGGCTAGGGGCCAGCCAGCATACTAGAAAAATTCCATTTCCACTCCTCCGAGGGGACATTGAGCAAAATGTCACAAAGAACAGACAGCGTTGCAGCGCTGACATTGCCATGTTCCCCCGCCGGGGCCTGAGACTAGACCTTGTCCAGTCCCTCGGCACTGAGCTACTTGTTCGGGCCAAGAGTATCCGTACGTAGTCGCCTTTTCCTTCTTTTTTTTTGACCTCGCCAAACCTATGCAGCCAGGTAGTTAGCAGTAGTATTAGTTAGCAGTAGTATTAGTTAGCAGTAGTATTGGTGTGACAGGCTATAAAATCTAGTGGTCTTTTTACGCAATGTTGCCGGGAAAAGAGAGGGGACGGGTGAAGTTCATGGGCATGGAACAAAAAAAGCAAGGACGAGATTGCCGATTGCTATGCCGTGGGATCACTCCGTCCTGAGCGGGAATGGCGCAGTCGCGTTTCAACATAAGATGAAGGATCATCGTTGCATAACAACTATACAGAGCAAAACGGGAACGGCCAAATGTGCAAGTGCAGCGCCGCGAGAGGCAGGGGAAGCTGGCCGATTGCGGTCGGAGTCGTACCCGTCGAGTGTTGTCTCTCCATCCATCGAAATGGCTGAGACATATTCTCCAATGTCTCATGAAATTATATTGAGGATTCAGGCCGCATCTTGGTCGAGCGCGGGGAAATCGCTCGGCCGAAGCGGTGTGGTCATATATATGCCGGAAATAGATAATAGCCTCAACGCGGGTTTTGGTTTGCTTTGTTTCCCGCCCTGCTATATTTGGCCAACATATAGGCCGGGCATCCTGGGCAAGCTGAACGTTTGTGCAGTACGCCACGCTGGAGAGAATAAATTGGACATGACGCATATCATCATCAACCCTCGCGAGCAATTGACAACTCAACGGCTTGACCTAGCCGTTTGTGTGGTAATTGGCAGCGCTGCAATCGCATCGGCGGCTTTGTGGTAACTTGTTTTCGTCGCCAGCACGACCTGAGGGGGCATATATGCCTGCTTAGCTTGCGCCGCACAGGCCGTCAGGGTGTTGTTGCAGTTATTCCCTCCGCAGGTTCAGGATGAGACCTGGGCTTCGTGCCAACCGTCAATAATTCAGTTGAGCGAACCCACAGCACCAAATCGGCGGCTGCCCTCGACTACCTATCGCTCGTAGTCACCTCTCACTGTTGGCATAGGAAGCTGCATACATTTGATTCCCTTGCAACTGGAGACCCAAATCCCAGTTGCTCCGGTCCGACGGAAACCATTTCCGTCCGAGAGAAGCGTTGATTTCAAATTGCGAGACAACACTTGAGCATCGCTCACGCTCCGGAATTGTTGATCACTGGGGTATAGTTGCGAAGTGATCGACCCGATTAGGAGTTCGGCTAGGTAGTAAGTATTACGAGAAATTCGGAAGACCATGGCACATCGGAGACTGCCCCTTACTGACGCAGCTAGGGTGGTGGTCCGGCCGGTGGGTTGGGTGAGGGCCATTGAAGTTGAATTATCACACCAGCACTAGCATGGAGTCGCTGGTCGAGAGGTGCGAGTGCTTCACGCGGCCACACCAGCTTCGTTTAGGAGATGTGAGCCGGACCACTGGGCTCGGGTGGGCAATTCAGGGGACAGGTCTCTAGTCGAGACCGGCTAATTCGCATACCAATTCGACACTGCAACGTAGAACGGCAGCAACTGAGAAACGGTTGCGCGATGCAGACGAGGTAAACAAAAGGGTGCAGCCCAAGCCATCACCGGACTGCACCCGGTCCAAGACATTCATGGGTGGCTTTACTGGTGCAACGTGGCGGTGGTACAGTAGCTCTTACTCACTCGGCGCCTTCCGCACGTTGAACCATATGTGGTGGTGTTTATTGTCGCGAGAATCGATGCTAGTGATGATCGCATTCGGCTTCCGGACCAGCACGAGAGACAGAACCCGCAGGGAGCACCGCGATCGACCTTGACTTACCTTCCACAGGCTTACTCCAACATACAAAGGAACGAGGTGACCGGCGTCGGCCGCCGCGTGCATCTACCCCGATGGCCCTCACTCCCAAAAGCCCGTTTCAGCCCAAGGTGTTCAATAGGCTATTTTGCTGAGGTGCTAGTTTAGTGTTGAGGCACCGGCGCCGACGGATCTAGGCCCAGAAGTCCGACTAAGACAATGGCTTGGCTACTTTTGGCCATGAGCGAGTGGGACGTTGTTTCTTTTTGCAGGGGACACAATAGGATTGTTACAAATCCTTAATGTCTTGGTGAATCAAAAAGCGGCCAACATTGACAGGTGGTTGTTGGTGATGGATCAGCCCTCGTGTCGTATTCTGGATATCACTGGAGAGCCTTGCCTGTCGTCTCCGCGGGAGACAAGCCAGCTCGCGGTCCCGCTGAGTATGCGCAAGCGAGGGACGAAAACTTTGCTCGTCTTCGCAAGTCTCCCCTTCCCGGTGGGTTCAGCCTGAGGGCCGGGATTTGTCTCCTCCCCTTGAGTCGAGCATGAGCACACGGCATAAAAGTCAAAGGGCCGCCCGGGGCTATCAAAACGTTGATCTATCCAACAGCGGATGGATATTGAGGCTTCGCTCTCAATGATACACCCATGTCAAGACTTGACGCCTGTCAGGGCCGGCCGGCCAGCTCGGTGTTTCAGGCGTGATTGTGGGCTGAAGCTGGCAGCTGCAGTGTCTGCCCCGCATTGCATGCGTGAAGGTGTTGTTGATCCAAGTCTGGCCAGAAGACGAAATGGAAGGTAAGAGCAGCGTAGGCTCCACTGAAGAGAGGCTGGCTCGCCACATGGTGCTTGGAGTGGTGGCGCTTGAGTTTGGCTTTTGAGGAACAATTGTCTTGTTCGTAGCGTAGCCCCGTCGGCCTCATCTTTGTTCTCTTAGTGTGTACCTGTAAATGTGTTCCTGGAAAGCTAGTGATCGTCGTCGGCGGAGCCTGTTCCTGGTGTTTGGTCGACTACCAGGCAGTACGACGCTGGGCTTGATGGGTGGATAGGACCAGCGTGAGGGGCGATGTTGACGTCTTGTCTCGCTTGTGCTGAGTGAGAAGCGGGAGCCATCGGGCATGCCGGACAAAATCTTCTTGTTTCCTTGGTTCCATGTTGGCTCTGCATCATTTGGCGCACCACTTCGCCGATAGACAATGGTCGTTTGTTGCTCCTGCTTCGGTCAATGGTGAGGATATCCAGTATTTTCTTGATCCCCTTGTTCCCTGCGCCTGCATAACGCACCAAATTGGCGCAGACTCGTGTTCTGCAGCACTCGTGCTCGTTTGGGAAGCTGCAGTGTCGAGCGCAGCGCGGTCTAGGAATATGTAGGAATATGTGTTCAATGCATTGCCGGACCCCGCGTCATGTTCAGCCGCAGCTGCGTGCGCAGGATGTAAGTTGGCCGGTGGCTGGTAAATATCTTTAGAATGGGTAACGAAGATGAAACCCAATTGAACCGAAACGAGAACCTAGCACGAGGTACGCTGGCTGCCTGTATGAGGTGGTGAGAGGATGGATGTGATGCAAAGTTCTGCCTCGGTGCTGTGGCTATGGAAGAAGGAAGTAAACTGTCAAATAAGGTTGCAAGTTATTAGATAAAAGAAGCACGGGGTAGAGCATGTTAGACGGCAGCCTGCTTCCAGCTGCATACGGTTTTCTAGTATTTTCTGTTTCTTTGGGGAAAAAAAAAATATATCCAGATTGTCTCGCCCCGACGTCCGTCAATGCATAAAAGTGTAATGCCACGCTATTTTCGGGCTCTGGTTGATTACATTGACGGAGTAATATCAAATCAGAAATTTTGGCCCCCGTGGGATTTCGGTTCCCGGGTTCCACCTTGGAAGGCCCACCAGAGCCTCTTGATAGATTAGTCTATCTTCATCAGACTGGGACTGGAGAAGTTACTGTGAAGAATAACTCATCAACGTGGTGATGACCTAACTAGCAATACAAATTATGATATTCAAAATTTTACAAAAAAAAGCAATCAAATGCAACACTGCCGAATCTAGCTTGATTTATTGTTCCTTTTTGGCCGTAACACCTCGCCCAAAGTCCCAGACCATATGGGCTGCCCCTCCCGTTCAGCCGTACCTTGTCGAACCGCTCTCATAACTCCTACCGGCTCGTAATACAAGGGGAAGATAAAAAGAAAGTCTGCGAAATATTCTCATTATTCATGTAAGCCATGGATAACCCAATGAAAAATCCATCCCTCTCACAGCCAGCCCGAAATAGATTTCTCACTGGCCAAAGTAACATTGGGCAATTTCCAAGCTGCCACAAAAGTCAAGCCACACCTGCGGGTGGCACAACAAGCTTAGTCCTAGGTAGAGTCTGTATCAAGCAGGCATTGTGCGCCCAAACTTTGAAAAACACAAATTGTTCGGGGCCCTCTCTTCAATACGCAGTCCAGACGCAAGACCATCAGCTCCTCCTACAACTCGGCCTCCGGTGAACTAAATTTGGCCGTCAATTGAAGCTGGGACTAGCAAACCCGGTAAGGTGGCTTGCAAGTTGCTCTCCACCACAGCACCACCTAATGCAGGTCCACTTGATCCCGCACCTATGTACCTTTCAGGACTCCTCTTCTGCCTCTTTTGCCGCGTTCACCAGCAACAGCAACAGGTTCTACTGCAACCTTCCTTGTCATCGTCCGCCTTGCCCGACTGCAACCCTCAGACCTTTTCTTCTTTTTTTTTTTCTCATCAACCCTTGACTAGGTCACTGCATCTTCTCCGCGCCTTACTCAAACGGGCTACTCTCGTTGCTATTTTCTCCTTCTCGCAAATCCACCCCTCTTGGTCAACGCTGCAGTCTGTAGAGCTACATGGATCCAGCTCACTCGGTTATGGTATCTTCCGCTCATCGCCTGGTTAGCTCTCTCTCTCTCTCTCTGTGCCTCTCGTCATGGGCTCTACTGACCCAACTGCGCAGAATAGCCGCGTCTTTGAGAGTGACGTTCACTGAAACGGGGCTGGAAATGTAATCAACAGGACATACGAACGGACAAGCTCTCCCAATACACTTGACCAAAATGTGCCAATCAAGCCTTGGGCATCCGAGTTGAGGCTCATGTATCTCAATTCCCGCTCCGCGAACCCTGGTCATGTCACACTCCAACCCTGGTCATCCTTCCACAACATCGAGGTCCACTGCCCACTCCGAGACTCAATCGTCCAGCCCAGGCTCATCATTCGCACCGCCTGCACTGTGGTCCAAGCTGTCGAGACTAGAACACACACATCGGCTCTTCTTGTTTGGCCATGAAAGCCTGCCGCCACACTATCCCACGCCAGATGGAGTCCTCGCTTCCTAGTCGGCCCCTCAAGCCTCAGCATCGTGGATGCTGGTCGACGGATTTTGGCTCTGCTCCCAAGCTGATGGTGGCTGCTAGCTCTGTCGCTCGGTTATTCCTCATCTTTCTTCGATCATGGTATATATATTCCCTATGGCCATCCCCTTCTTTTCTTTCAACTCTTGCTCTCCACGGGTCCTTGTCTTCTCAACAACCCCCTTCACCTCGACCGTTATATCGCTGTAACGGACCAACCTTCGTTTATCATCACCTTCTTTGCGTTTTCTTCTCTTCAACTTGACTTGTTCCACCCAGTCTCCTTTCACCATGGCCTTGTATAGGTCTGTCGTGGCTGCAGCCGCGGCTCTGTCGCTGGCAACGCTCACTACCGCCACCAACTATGAGCTTCCCGCCTGTACCGATAACTTCACCCCCTTTACCAGCAAGGGCTGTTACACCAACGGAGACACTGCTCTCCTCATGCGCTCCAAGGTCGATGGCAATGACATGACTGTTGAGAAGTGCACCGCCGTCTGCAAGGGCAACGCCTTCCGATATGCCGGTCTTACCTACTACGGTGTCTGCTACTGTGGTGACGAGATCGCTGCCGACAAGACCGCCGATGCGTCTTGCAACTATCCCTGCAACGGTAATAAGGGGCAGCTCTGCGGTGGAAAGGGCACTCTCAACATCTGGGAGGATCCCACTTACACCAAAACCCCCAGCGAGGTCACAGTCGCCGACTACACTTACAGCGGCTGCTACGTTGACAATGTCAATAACCAAGGCCGCGCTTTCCCTTGGCCCGAAAGCATTGAACCTGCCAAATTCACACCCGAGACCTGCATTGCTGCCTGCAAGGCACAAGGTTTCCCCATCGCTGGTACAGAGTATGCCCACGAGTGCTGGTGTGGCAACGTTCTCTCTCGCACCGTCAAGGCTGCCGAAAAGGACTGCAACGCTCCCTGCGGCGGTGATTCTTCCCGAATCTGCGGTGGCGGTAGCCGTCTGAGCGTCTACATTGCTAAGGATCTCGAGTCCAACGAGCCATGCAGTAATGGAAACCCCCCGACAAGCAGCAGCACCTCGACCGGCCCTACGACTCAACCGACTCAGCCCACCTCAACTGGTCCTTCCACCGGTCCTTCCACTGAGCCTACCTCCACCGGCCCTTCTACCGAGCCCACCTCCACCAGACCTTCAACCGAGCCCACCTCAACCGTCCCTTCGACTGGTCCTTCCACCGGTCCTTCCACGGAACCTACTTCCACCGGTCCTTCCACGGAACCTACTTCCACCGGTCCTTCCACTGAGCCGACTTCCACCGGTCCTTCCACTGGCCCGTCTACTGAACCTACCTCCACCGGCCCCTCCACTAAGCCTACTAGTCCTTCCACCAGTCCTTCCACGGAGCCTACCTCTACTGGCCCTTCCACTGAGCCCACTGGCCCGTCTACTGAGCCTACTGGACCTTCCACGGGCCCTTCTACGCAGCCTACTTCAACTGGTCCTTCTACTCAGCCCACCAGCTCTTCTACTCGCCCTGGCACTTCTACCGGTCCTTCTACTCAGCCCACCAGCTCTTCTACTCGTCCTGGCACTTCTACCGGTCCGTCCACCACCAAGCCAACCAGCTCTTCTACTCGTCCTGGTACTTCTACCGGCTCTACCACTGGCCCTTCGACCAACCCTGGCACTACTACTAAGCCTGGAACCTCGACTAAGCCTACCAGCACTGCCCCTGGCTCTTGCACTACCACGATCGTCACCCCTCCCACTTGCGAGCACCAGATTGGCAAGTGGTGCCTGCCTCCCACTCCAGAATGGACTTGCAAGGAGGACTGCTATTCTGCTTGGAAACAGTGTGAAGTTACTGTCTACTCTTGCTTCAACCAGGCTGGTTACCCTGACAGCTTGAACTGCTACGCGTACGCTTCGTGGTGCAAGAGTCTCAAGGGCTACTGTGACCGCTGCGATAACAGCTCCAAGTGCAACAAGCTCGACTGCTGGAAGTCTCTGGAGCCTGGCCACGTTGGAACTTCCACTACCAAGACCGTCACCACTGCCTGCACCATCGTTCCTACCTCCAACCCTCCCGGTACCACTACAAAGCCGACTACCAGCAGCAAGCCGGTGACAAGCACCAAGACTAGCACTTCTACGACTCAGTGCCCTCCTCAGCCTACCAATATCTGCAAGCAACCCACCTCAAAGGACTGCGACTTTGGCCCTGGAAACCCCGTCGGTGGTGTTCCTCTGCCCATTGTGACTTGCAACGACTGCAAGGATGACTTTAACGCCAACCCCTGGAAGATGTACCTGAATGCCAACAGCAGAAACTGTCCTTCGTTCCCCCATGGTCGCATTGGTGGTGTCTGCTGCGATGCTTGCAAGTACCAATACACGAAGTGTGTTGAGGTTTATGCCAACTCTTGCTACAACTTGCAGAACCAGCCCAACTTCCATCCCCCCCGCTCTATTGAGGAGCGCGAGCCTTGGGGCTCTTCCTCATCTAGCAGCAATGGCTGGGGCTCTTCGTCTTCCAGTTCGTCTGGCTCTTCCTCTAGCTCTTCTGGCTGGGGCAACCCCGGCTGGGGCAACCCTGGCTGGGGCAACCCCAACCCCGGTGTCTGCAAGGGCTGGGGCAGCTACAGCGGTGGTGTTGGCGCGTCTGCGTCGGCCTATGCCGGCGGCAGTGGTGCCTGGGCCCGTGCCAATGCCTGGGCCGGTGCTGGTTGGGGCTCTGGCAACAACAACTACAACAATGCCGTGTACCGCTGCAAGGTTCAGTATGATGACTGCATCTACGAGAACCAGAACGTCAACCCTGTTTCTGAGTGCAGAAGCTGGGGTTGCAAATAACCAGTTTAATGTAATATGGGGTGTTGGATCCTTCATTTAAGGGAGCTTTTGTTTTATTTCTTGTCATATTTATTTACGAAGAGACTCTGGGCAACATGGACTGACATGTCTTCAATGATGATGCATTGTTGACCATTTGAGTGCATCTTCTTGGATGCATCATGTATCTCTTTCTCAGATAGTTACCACTTTTAGATGGTTAGCTAGTACCAGCTACATACAATTTTACAGCTCTGTCCTCTTCAACGCCTCTTCAAGTAGCAGTGAATGTATGCAGGTTCCCCAATAAGCTAAGCAGTTTATTTTGGTGCGTCTTCGCAGAATGTGATGCGATTGCCAAACGGATCCGTAACTTGCAGCTCCTTGGAGCCCGGTACGGGTCCATCCTCGATCGCCGGACGCAAGTAGGCATACTTCTTGGCCGCCAGCTCGGCGTGGTACTCGGCCAACCCTCCCGCGCCCACCCGCACCCGTACGTTGGCCCCCGGGCTGCCGTCGCCGTGGTGCTCGCTGAGGTGCAGGACGAGGCCGCCGCGGGAGACTTGCCTGTACAACGGTCCCTGCGTGCCCTTGCCGTCGCCGTCGTCGAGGGTGAAGCGGTGGTCCCAGTCGCGCTGGAAGCCGAGGTAGTCGACGTAGAAGACGTCGGCCTTGGCAACGTCGAAGATTCGAAAGATGGGCGTGACGGTGGAGAATTGAACGTTGGACGACATGGTGAAGGGGTTTCGAGAGACTTGTGTCGTGTTCACTGGGAGAGAAGCTGCTTGTGAATGTATGTGAAGGTGAATGTGAAGGTGGTGGACATGCGGCTGAAATTCACGGTGAAGTGCGACAGCGATCAACCACGCTATTTCTAATAGTTGAAATATGAGCCGATGTTTTATCTACCACCTGGACATGTTGATTTTTCTTTTTGTAGTAGAAAGAATTCATGTACTGAACGATGTACCGACTTCGTTTACACGAAGCTGTTTGTCACTACTTACTACCTCTGTAGGGTAGGTAGGGCCCGTTTTCTCAGCCTGGTTTTGCGGGTATCTACAACTGGCATCTCTTTTCACATGTGCCATCCATCCTCCCAAAGCAACCGACCCCAACTACAATCGCCGCGCCGCCCCGCGAAACAAGCCGGAATACGTCAAGAAGCCTGTGCATACTCTAGCGCACGCGCTCCAACTTCGACGTAGGGCAGGCCCTCTCTCAGCCATGGCTGCCGTCCAGCACCTCGCCGTCCTCGGCCGGGACGTCGCCGCCGCCGCCCTCGCGCAGCCGCCCTCGCAGTGGTGCCAGGCCTTCTTCCTCGGCGCCGCTGCCGGCATCGCCGCCCTGAACGCGCTCCCAGCCTCCCTGCGCGGCCTCGTCATCGACTACGGCGCGCGGGCGGGCACCACCACCGCCCGGCTGCGCTCCGGCTGGACGGCGCGGATGGTCGGCGCCGCCACGCGTGCCGGTCAGATCCCGCACTCCTGGTTCTGCCACTTTTACATGCTGTCGGTCGCGGCGTCGGCGTTTTGGGCGTGGCAGTTCCTGGGGAGGGGCGGCGTGATGCGCGCGCTGGCGACGAGGCAAGGAGGAGACGCAGTGTCCGGAGACGACGCCGAGGCGGTCAACAGGGCGCTGGGGCGGGTGTTCGCGGCGTGGCTCATGATGGCGCTGCAGGGCGCGAGGAGGCTGTACGAGAGCCTGCTCGTGATGAGGACGGGCTCGGGTTCGACGATGTGGTTCGTGCACTGGGTGATGGGGCTGGCCTTTTACGCGGTCATGAGCATCGGCGTCTGGATTGAGGGTTCCGGTACGTGTTGCTTATGTCCCTTTCTTTTTCTCCCGTCCCGTCTCCAATATAGTCGAGTCTACTGTACATGCGTGGCTAACAGGGGCTGTTCTAGATGCTATCCTCGCGGCCTGGGCGACGCAAGACCCCTCGCGCATCCTCTCATCGCGCGTGCCCGCCGCCCTGGCCGTCTACTTCTGGGCCTGGGTCAAGCAGAACGAGTGCCACGCGCACCTTGCCAGCCTGAAGAAGTACACCCTCCCGACCGCGGGGCTATTCCGGTTCCTCGTCTGTCCGCACTACACCTGCGAGTGCCTCATCTACCTAACGATTGCGTTCGTGGCCGCGCCGACGGGTCGCTGGTTCAGCGGGCCTGTCATCTGCGGGTTGGTCTTCGTGGCGGCCAACTTGGGGACGACGGCGATTGGAACGCGGCGATGGTATGCGGAAAAGTTTGGTGCGGAAGCGGTGGCATCGCGCTGGACCATGATACCCCTTGTATTTTAGACACTACGTCTTTCCCGGTTACGTCTCATCAATCAACGGCATTGCCACTCGCATCACCCTCGCATGCGAACATCTTCACCTCTTGAGAAACATGCCAATCCTGTTGGCGGCTTTCGATACCTTGAGCACATCTCGGTAAGTAAGACTGGTGCGAGTCTGGCGCACGTTTCGGCCGTCCTCGAATGTACCAGGGTCGCGTAGTAATGACCAGTTGACGACTGTGTCCGCCGACAGGTCAACGTCTTCCTTGACATCGGCGATTCCGTGCAGGTAGTCGGTGTAGAGCTCGTCCGTCGTGATGAGCAGACTGCGCGCCTCCTGCAAGACTCGCCACGCGGGCTCCGGGTCCAGGGCGCCATCGTCTTTGCTTCGGTGCAGGTTGAGACAGAGGCTCGCTCCAAGGCTGACCGTGCAGACCACGGGCCAGTACGCCGCACCATCCTACAGCAATATTTGTTAAAAAAAAAGAGACATGTGAAATTGAGGGGTTCGTTGTGCAACTTGCTTTGTGGGGCATGATGCCAACCCCGGGAGGATACTCATTAATGAGGACATGGTTCGCCCGGTGGTGCGGGCTGCCGCTGAAGATGTGATGGGTGTCACTGAGTGACACAGGGATCGATTGGAGCCGTGACACGATTGGTGATTCGAGCCATGGTGGGAGCACGGCGTCGAGGAGCTTGTCGTGCACAAGGCCGGACGGCCAAGTCTGCAGGCGCCGATGCGTGAGTTGCTTCCATCGAGGCTTCGGAGCTGCGGCGATCTAATACCCTCGGCGTTAGAGCAGCTGATTGTGGATAGAGGCGGTTTAGCGATTTTTTAAGGACGCACTTTGTCCAGGATGAGCTGTTCCTCTTCTCTGCTGATGAAGTTGGGTATGTAGTATGCGGAAGCCGGCAGTTGCTCGATTCTCGCCGACTCTAGACTGTCCGGGAGAGTTACGTCCGGGCTGGATGGTGCCACCATGGCGCTAGTAATGCAGCAATTATACACTGGGATGCAGGTGTAGCGAATGCGACGTTGGTGAAGCCGAAACTGGTGTGCAGCGTTTGTCTTGCAGATGAGAAGTACAAACGGATAGCCGATTTGTGTGCACGTATTTGTCACGTGTGGAGCCTCAAGACGAGACGAAGCTGTCTACAATGCTTAGAGAAAGCTATGACCCAATGCAAGATTCCGGGGGTTATTTTGTTTGCACAGGATCGGCCTGGCGATATTTAATGCTCCTGCTCTAGCTCTGGGAGCGGCGCGGCGGTAGGTGCGCAGCCTCCTCTCAGCGCGTCCCCGCCTGCAAGCAGAAACGAGCGAGACAGACAGCATGTGGCCAGCCAGCCAGCCAGCCAGCCCGCATCTGCCGGGTGCATCGTGTCCCGGAGAGCCAGGCGGCATCGGGCGACTGTGATTAACCTCCTTCTCAGCCAACGTCTCAGGATACGGCGACTATTTTGAGCGATCGATAATGACTCGTAGATGGCAGGACTAGGACTGGGCAAACCTGCCCACGACAAGGGCAGTGCTGGGAGTCGCATTGATGGCGGCGACCGAGAAAATGACAGCGGAAAAAGTAAAGAAAAAAAGCGGCCGGGGGGTGTGCTTCTGCCCCGCCGGAATGTGCCCCATAGTTGTAACCAATCAGAAAATAGAAATCCTGGGCTTGTCGACGCTGGCTCGCCACTACCTGTCACGACTGACACATTGGCACCCTCCAATGGCTTTTGCATCACTGTATAATAACTGGGCAGGCAATAATAATGAGTGCAACACGACTCTTCGGGCTTACCAAAGTCCCGTTTGCGTGCGATATCGTTGCACACGGCTCTGTTCGTACCCTATGCACGACCTGCCTTGGCTGCCTGCGCTGGGTATCCTCACCTGTGGGCCCCAACTAATCTTTGCGCCCCAAAGACAGCCGCCCCCGGCCTCTTTTGCCAAAAGGTCCAGTTGTCTCATGCCTATCGATGGTCAACAGACAACAACTCAGCTCAGTCGCGCTGCCTTGCGCTGCCTTGAGCTGCCATTGCCACCAGACAAAAACATGGCTCCACTGCTGATTAGGTCGGTGCAGGCTAGGAAGTAGTTAGGAAGGTACCTTGCACCAAGTGACTAGACGCTAAGTAACCGAGGTACTAGTCTATCTAACTTTTCATGGAACCTCTCCCAGCATCTACGGCAGCCACCAGTCCCGTCAAATTCAATCTTCACCTTCACCATCCACCAACAAACACACCCACTTCTTATCACCACAACAAACCCGGGTCTTTAGAACGCCGGCGCGTTCGCCCAAACGTCCCGTCTCCCCTGTCATTATTTTGCCAATTTTCGCGATTATTACTACTTGTCAAGTACTTGACTAATTTTTATCCGCGCCTCTCCCGACATCACCACCGAAGCCTCAACCTCGATTGATTTAGGGGCTGGCTAGCCTTCCTCGACTCCCGTTACGCCACTCGCAACTTGAGAGCGACTTCAATCGTAGCGCCACCTCTCGACCCCTTATCATTTCCATGATGCTGGTACATATTGGTTCCTCGCATAATTAAATGACATGGATGCGCAGAATGCCGCCGAGGCCGACCAAGCGCGGCCCTCGGTTGCTTCCCCTCAACGGCGCCGGGGCTCCCAGGCCGACTCCAAACACGCATCCGTACTAGACGCAAAATCTGGTAAACCGTCAGAAGTCAAGTCGAAATCCGGTGCTTTGTCCGCATCGGCTGCTCTTGCTGAGAACAGCGCCGAGGACCGCGATTCGGACGCTGAGACCATTGTGCTCCCTGGTAAGGACGGCCACTCACCATCCAAAGTTCGCAAGGTGAGGCAAGAAGACAAGAGCGAAAGCGACGGTGATGCCTCCAAATCAAAGTCTACTACCAAGGCTACAAAGCCCGACGCCGATACCGTCACCGCGCGAGCTGCAGACCCTCCCAGAAAGAAGCGCCTCTCCATCTCCGCAGGCTCGAGACTGGCCGACGCGGACGCCCATTCTCGCAGCAAGGATCGGGCTGGCTCAAGCGGTCTAAGCTCTGCACCTAACTCGCCAACACAAACGCATCGACGTCTGCAGCACCGCCGGCAACGTTCTCGCTCCGACGCAGCTCCCCTCTCCGAATCCGACTCTGACGAATACACTACCAACAAACCTTCAAAGCCATCACTCAAGGATAAGGCCAGATCTGGTGACAGAATGACGTCCCAAAAACGAAAGGCCCCCAAAAACGAATCCGACGATGAGGCTGATGGGCGCAAGGCTAGACGCCAGCGCACCACATCCGTCAGCGTCGAAGCTGGCCGCAACCCCCGGGATGCTCGAACCTCTTCCAGATCTCATCGCGACGCAAGAACGCAGTCGCACTCCCCCCCTCCCCGACACCACCGCCGAAGCAACTCTACCCAATTAACTTCCTCAAATGGGCTTGGTCAGAAAAAGAAGCGATTGCCACCGCCATTACAATCTACCGAGTATCATTCCGATGATTCTTCAGCCAGCGGAAGCCCTCACCCCCGCAGCACCAAACTGAAGAGCCTCGCCACGCCTTCGAATTCAGAGTCGCACATGTCTCCTGCCAAAGTTGGGCCACACAAGAAGCACTTGGATGCCCACGGTCAGACGCTACTCGCCCGTGCCTGCGCCAAAGGCGAATACGACGTCGTCAAGCAGCGTCTTGCGGAGCGACCGGAAGACCTGAACTGGGCAGACTATGCCGGTAACACGCCCCTCCAGATAGCAGCGCTTAATGGTCGTGAAGATATCGTCAAACTTTTGATCGAGGCGGGATGCAACTTGGACTGTGTAAATTACGAGAAAGATACGCCATTACTAGATGCTGTGGACAACGGCCACCTGGAGGTTGTCAAACTTCTGCTGGATGCCGGTGTCAACCCCCGAAAAGCCAACGTGAATGGGGAGGAGCCTATCGACCGAGTGACGGACGAAACCGATCATGCAGCTGAGATCCGGACACTCCTGATAGCCGCAAAGAAGAAAGCTGGTGACAGGATGCGGACGTCGGAAGATCGCCATTCCCACCACGACCTCGACGCTCGAGATTCGCATGCGCCGGATAGCCCACGACGATCACCGGCTGCGCCTAGTGGAAGACGCAGCACAACTGGACGAGCCACAAAAACCCGAAATGACCTGCTCTACATGCCCCTCGACGACAAAACGCTTCGGCAAGCCGCTGGCCGCGGTGACGAGGAGACTGTTGCCCGCATATTGCAGGTGAAGGACGGTTTCGATGATCCCGAGTCCATGGTGGCTGCTGCCCGTGGCGGCCACGATCTAGTTATTCAGTTATTGCTAGGACTGGGCGGCGCCAATGCTGATCCCGGACCCGTCAGTAGCCTTCCCGCTGATTTCGCAACACCTATTCTTGCCGCGATCGGCCAGGAAAACATTAAGGTAGTTCGACTATTGCTGGAGCAGCAAGGCTTCGACCCTACAAGACGTTTCAAGGGCGATGCCTATTACGAAATTGCACGGAATCGCCAGGGCCCGAATTGGAAGCAGGAAGAAGATATTCTTCGAGCTAAATACGATGAATACAAACGAACACACAAAGATGGTGCTCCCAACAAATCCCCCAACCGAAAAGAGCGCGAACGCGAAGAGAAGCGTACCAAGCGAGACGAAGCCCGCGCGGATGCGAAGCGCGAGCGCAAAACCCTGCAGAGCCCATCTCGCGAAGCTGAGACGAAACGCAAGACTGGGTCGAAATTGGATAACCAAGCGAGCAAGAGGCGATCTGAGTCTTTTTCAACCTATGGCGACGAGGAAACTCCCAAGCGTGGCCCTGGTCGGCCTCGAAAAGAAGAGAAACACCCAGTTGAGCAAGCTCCCGATCGCGAAGCCTCGCCAACTATCCAGCACAAGTCCAGCAAGACAAAACGGGCCGAGTCGGAGGCCGCGATTGTATCGTCTGATGGCGAATCTGTCAAGCCGCGCCGTAAACTTGTTTCCAAGGGTGAGCTACGGGGCGAGAGAGAAAAGAAGAGTAGAGTCTCAACCGGCAAAGAGCCATCAAGTCCAAAAATCTCCCGCAATGACGAAACTGTTGAAAAGCAGAAATTGTCGGAGAAGTATCATGACAGAACCAAGGCGCTCAAGCGTGACCCTTCCAGGGAAAGCGACTCAACGGCTAAGAGACACCGAAAGAGCACAACACCCGATCGTTCCGGAGATGCAGAAAAGGACGAAACTGAAAATTCCGCGAAGCGCAGACGGCTGGAAACTGATGCGCCAGACAAAAAGAGCAAGCGCTCAGCCCTTGAAGACAAGACGAAGAAGACGAATGTCAAGGGTGGAAGCGATGAGGACTTGGTCAAGGACAAAAAATCGAAACAGGCGCAGCGACGCGAGTCAGACCGCTCAGCATCCTCTGAGAAGATCAAGATCAAGTCTGAGGATGCTGACGTTGCAATGACAGAGGCACCGTTCAAAGAGCCAAGTGCTGAAAAGATTGCCGAAGCCGAAGCTGCCCGGAAGAAGGAGGAAGAAGAGGCGGCCCGGAAGAAGGAGGAAGAAGAGGCGGCCCGAAAGGAGAAGAAGCGGCTCGAAGAAGAGGAAGCCCGCCGCCTGGAAGAGGAGGAGAAGAAGGCCAGAGAAGAGGAACGCCTACGCCGCGAAGCTGAGGCGGCCCGACTGCGCGAAGAGGAAGAGAGGATGAGGAAGGAAGAGGAAGAGAAGAAGAGGAAGGAAGAGGAAGAGAAGAAGAGGAAGGAAGAGGAAGAGGAAGAGAGAAGACAGCGTGAAGAGGAGGAACGCCTGCATCGCGAGCAGCTGGAGCGTGAGGCTCAAGAAGCAAAGAGACAACAAGAGGAAGAGGAGCGCAAAGAGCGCGAGCGCCGTCACCGCGAAGAGGTGGAACGTAAGCGTGCTGCTCGTGAAGCTGAAGCCAGAAGACTGCGGGAGGAAGAAGAACGCGCCCGCTTGGACAAATTACCGCCCTTGCTGCAATGGCTTCAGATATGCCCCAATCCGAAACAATCATCTGTGGCAGAGAAGTTCCGATACATGTCTGGCGTCCGCTATGACACTATTCGCCCTGCGGCCACTGGCACAGCTGAAGGTCGCGAACAATGGGTACTCAACACGCACGTGGCTCTGCTTCTGGGCGAGAAGGACCTCGATCTCTCGCGCTATACGGCCTGGGAGCGTTCACCCGTTTCCCATCTGGCGAAGAAGACCCTCTGGCGAACTGAATGGGAGCTCTACTCCTTGCTAACCGAAAAATACTGGGACATCGGCCGACAGTTGCCGGATTACTATAGTGGCGAAGATCCGGCTACCATCAGCTTTGAGACGAAGCAAAAACTGAAGCAGGCCGCATGGGAGAGGTTTATGGGCACGTCGATGTTTTTCGTCAAGCTGTCAGAGCTGCTCTACACCGTCCCTACCATGCCTCATCTTCGCAAAGTTGAGATGGCTGTCGAGTATCGTGAACTTCTTGAGAGCGAAGCTCAGGCTGTTGGGTGGCAAGCCCCGCAGAAATGGAAACAAGATCCCGGAGTCGAGCGTTTCCATGGTTTTGCACCACGGCATAAGTACTACATTGGCGGCAACTTTGTTCGTGAGGATGTCCCAACAACGCATTCGATCAGTAGGACGCCGTTCCCAGACGCGCGAAAACCTCGGCGCGGCCTAGTCCAAGTGTTCCCGGATGACCCAGAATACGAAAAGCTTTGCTTGGAGCAAGGCTTGGGCCACCTCGTCAAAGGACAACACACCCCGGATTTACCAAACGGCGCTCGCCCCTCTGCTATGGAAACCAGGCTCCTTAATGGGACTAACGGCCATGGACACGACCATATCGCAGCCCCTAGTGTCACCGTTAATGGTGATTCTCACTGAGGGCCCCGAAACGACCTTGCCGGACATATGGGAGTTCCTACACAGCATACCAGTCACAACCCCTCTACCGTGTACTTTTATCATCCTATTCCTCAATCTTCTTGTTACAGAGCTTTCGCATCCAGGTCAACTTTGCTCTGGCTGCTGTTGCGTGATGGGCATGCTTTTTGGGTGTTGATTAACCCCTAGGATGGAAGGGGCGGTTGGTATATTTGACGATGAAGAGCTCTGATATGAGCTTGATGTTACAACGTCCGCCTGCATTGGGCACCAGTTTTCTTAACGCCTCCAACTCGAAATCAAACAAGATTTTTATCTTGATGTTTATGCTTGCCTTGATTGTCAATGTAATGTCAATATAGAGGTACTTAATGACGATGATGATGATGATGATGGTGTTGTTGCTGCTGTACAATGAGATGGAATATGAAATGGAGATTTTGATCGAGTTTCGGATTGAAGAGATCGGCTGGCCCGAGATCCATACTGGAATCCACTTGAACAAGAAGCAAAGGAATGATACAGGCTGAGTTTATTAGAATCAGGATGCTCTGTCTTTACTTGACAGGTAGTTAGAGGACAACTCCGAATCCTGACTAAGCTGGGCAGGAAGCGGCGTTGGCTTGACATCATTGGCCGCCGCACCAAAAAAATTCACCCCACTAAGCCCACCAAAGATTCTTGAAGCACGACGCAACTCTGTGAGACTTGAAAATCATACCCGTCCTTGCGACTCGGTCTTCCGCGACAGTGCTTACAGGACGAGATACAGCGACGATCCTACCGAGGCAAACATTAAGAGAACGCCATAAATCCGACTGATTTGCCACCCTCCACGCCCGCGAGCTTCCTAGAAGTTGCCCATCATGTCAACGACTGTGGATAAGGTAAGGGCTGGCCTAAGCCAAATGCTACTTGACGATTAGTTTTGCTAACGAACGCATGATGCAGATCAAAGAGGTCGAGGCCGAAGTACGTATACCCGCTGTTGCCGAAAAAAATCCATTGTTGAAAGAAGCGGCTGTAGTTGGACTCGCAATTCGAGCCCTCCTCCCCGCACTCCCCACGATCACGACGAAAACATGGTGCTGACAAGATGCCTCCCTTGGCGCGAAACAGATGGCCAGAACCCAAAAGAATAAGGCTACCGCCTACCATTTGGGTCAACTAAAAGCCAAGCTGGCCAAGCTCAAGCGTGAGCTGCTGACCCCGACTGGAGGCGGTGGCGGAGGTGGTGCCGGCTTCGACGTCGCCAGAACAGGTGTCGCGAGTATCGGCTTCATTGGCTTTCCTTCCGTTGGAAAGAGTACGCTGATGAGTCGATTGACGGGCCAGCACTCTGAAGCCGCCGCATACGAATTCACAACTCTTACATCCGTACCCGGTCAGGTCATGTACAACGGTATGTTCACTCTGTCTGGGGAAGAGGAACGCAAAAGGTTGCTAATCTATACTAGGTGCTCCTCTACAGATTATAGACTTACCCGGTATTATCGAAGGCGCCAAGGACGGTCGCGGTAGAGGTCGTCAGGTCATTGCCGTCGCCAAGACTTGCCATCTGATTTTCATTGTTCTCGACGTCAACAAGCCCTTGACCGACAAGCGTGTCATTGAAGCCGAACTGGAAGGCTTTGGAATCCGCATCAACAAGTCGCCGCCAAACATCACCTTCAAGAAGAAGGACAAGGGTGGCCTCAACATTACCAGCACAGTACCGCTGACGCACATTGATCACGACGAGATCAAGGCCGTCATGAGCGAGTATAGAATCAACTCGGCCGATATCACTATCCGCTGCGACGCCACGGTTGACGACCTGATCGATATCCTGGAAGCTCGATCCAGAAGGTGAGAGCAACTTCATCGACGCGGAAATGCGCTCTAGGGAGGATGCGACTGACTGGTTTCGCTATTTAGTTATATCCCTGTCGTGTACTGCCTCAACAAAATCGATGCGATCAGTATCGAAGAGCTGGATCTGCTGTACCGAATTCCCAACTCAGTGCCCATAAGCTCCGAGCACGGCTGGAACATTGACGAGCTCATGGAGGCCATGTGGGAGAAGCTCAACCTCAAGCGCGTCTACACGAAGCCCAAGGGCAAAGCACCAGATTACAGCGCCCCTGTCGTATTGCGAGCCAATAAAGCCACTGTTGAAGATTTCGTAAGTCAAATACTGTCTGTTCCCGCGAAACAATAACTGCCGGATTACTGACGCAGCGTGTAGTGTAATGCTATCCACCGTAGCATCACCGAGGTTTTCAAGACAGCCATTGTCTACGGTAAATCGGTTAAGCACCAGCCCCAGAGAGTTGGTCTGGGCCACGAACTGGAAGATGAGGACGTCGGTAAGTCGAAATGCGATATTACGAGTCGCGCTTGCAGGGCTCGTGGAAGGGTCGCGCAACGGTCCCATGGCTAATTGACAAAAACTTGGCAGTCACTATCGTCAAGCGATGATTCGACCTCCCTGGGCAGGGGGGCAGGGCAGGGCTCCGGCGGCCGGCACGGCTTCAAACTCCACCTCCGTTCGGGCGAACACATGTTCCTGAATCACCGCTCTTTTTCTTTTTTGGTGCGATCCGATCACTCGGCCGCGACAACAACTTGAGAAGGATACTTTGCTGGCACGAGCCCCGAACGTGATCGGCTGAGCTGGGACAAGACATCATCATCCCAAGGTCTTACCGGGGAGTTGGGCGGGGGAGACACCCAGACCTTTGACATGAGGGACAGGGCAGTTCGCTGGGAGAAAAGCCAAACCACGGGCCGCCCTTCCCGGACAGCCGTGACTTGCACCCCCCCCTCCCTCCCCCACGGGCACGAGACACAGCAAAAGGGGGGGAGCAGGACAAGAAGGGAATGGAATTTTTGTTCGTAGCGTTCGGCGTGCAGCCGAGACACGGATATGGGGGCGCAAAAAAGTTTGTTTTCTGTCGGTTGTATTTCCTTTTCCTTGCGGCATGGGTGGGGGGTTACACTAATTTTTTTTTTACTTGGCTTTTTCGTCTTTGGAAGCTGGGATGTTTGTGCGGTGGGAAGAGCAGAATTTTGCCGTGAAGCTTTTACAACTTGACTGGATCTCTTTTCTCTGGCGCAAGGCTGGGGGCGCTCGCGGCTGCAAAAGCATATACACATGTTGCATATCAAATCCTCGATATAGATGAAAGTCTTTTGTTTTATCCCACTATGAAGGTCCTCTGACCCGGTACAACCTGTTACGGCAATGGTGTTGCTCGTACGAGCATTTCAGAGGGCCGACTCGATTGAGGTCCATTTCGAAGAGCCGGAGGTCCTTCCGAAGGTCCTGGGAGCTCGCATTGGCGTCGAGGCTGTCAAAGCCTTGTCAAAGCCTTGTCAAAGCCTTGTCATGTCACGACGCCGCTATTGGGCTACAATTTCCCCATCATCAACTATCTAAACTCTATTCTCCAACTATTGAGCAGCCCTGATAACTAGCTGCCGGGTGGCATAACTCGACCTGGGTTGGGAGGGCACGGACTGCACTTTCGGTGCTCGCCTGCCGCGTCCGCGGGAGCAGCCTCCGTCCTACTCTCCCGCTGCCGTTCACCTCTTCGCGGGAGAGCGCAGGTTCGGCTACCAACGGTAGCCCCAAGTACCGATTGTCGTCAAGCCCTCGTCTTCGGACTAGCGCCATGCCTCAAGCGAGAGTTAAGTTAGCGTACGTGAAATGAATCGCGGTCGTCTATTTTTGGTCAGCATTCAAACAGGGTAGGGCGGCTCGCGGCTCGCGGGCCCTCCCGAACATGACTTTGGTCGAATGCTGACCAAACGTCCCCGCCGCCAGGGTCCCGCTGAAGCAAATGTGCCTGGAATATTTCAAATATTCTCATAGTAGCCGTACGATTCCTGTTTTCCTTTCTTTAGCGAGACTGGTAATGTTGCCGTCGCACTCGGCGAGTCCACTCTCACTTGTGGCGGTATCGGTGAGGCTTCTGTGCGCGAGCTGTGTAGGGTCAATATCGTAAAAGGAAGCAGGAAGTCACAAGCCGTGCCTTGCCTCGCCTATGTCTGCGGTGATGTTGATACTATCCCCTCTGCACTCGCCGACTTGTGGAAATCAGGCGGAAAGTTCCGCTGCACACCGTGCGGCTCCTTGATCTGGCGGTACACACTTGTGGTAGGCGCACACGGGTGCTCTCATTATGCCGGCTTGTGTGACATGCTCGGGCCTCCTCTCCCAGTTGCTCTGTAGAGCCGAGAATCACATATCAAGACGAAAAGAGAAAGTGGTTGCGTTCTCGCAATGACGCTTTCGGCCTGCGCGCAGCACTCTGCGTCGGCCACGGCCAAAAGCGGACAAACATGAAGGAATTGATGCAGGTGTGTCCCGGGGGCGTGTCACTAGAACTGAACGGTATGCATTTGTCGAAGAGCCCGGAGAGAAAATTGTCAGGAGGGGAAGGACGTCCTCAGTAAATGCTCGAACCAGTGTCTAAGACCGTCATGCCTGGATCTCCTCAATTGTAGCACGGCGTTTGGAGAGACTTGGATGCTAAGCGTCTGTCTGTGTCAAAAAGCGACCTGTAGCTTGATATGGCTGTCAACCGCATCGTTCTAATATCAAGGCATGGTAGCCCTGGCCTGATATCGACGGCAACAACATGGTGACTTGCGAATTGACACAGGATTTGCCCCCGTACGAATAAATGTAGCCTCATTCGTCTGGCATGCCTTTGAAGCACGCGCCTTGTACAAAGGATGGCCACTATGTTGGTGGTGTGTACCATGTAGCGAACAGGGACGGCCGAGTTGTGGGATTCACCCACAGAGCTCGTGATGACAAGAGAATAGATAACAATAATGAACATGAAAAGTTGGGCAAGTCTGGAATGATTCATCATTGAAAGCATTACTAGTGGTTGATTTTGGACAGTTTTGCCTGTTTGTGCATTGAATACATGCTTGTGTCCAGCAGGTCTGGGTCAGGTACCATCTAATTAGTAGGATAGTCATCCGGAACGGCCTCACTTACTAACTAGATCTGTGGCCGAGGGCTTTGGGGCGAGCTCCCGGGTCAGCCCGTCGGGCCAGGCAGCTGCAGGTCCCTTGCTAGTTACTAGTTATGGTACATGCTGATGATCAAGAGGAGATGAGCATGGGATACACGGCAAGGCACACCAAGGCGGAGTTGTTGCAGGACAGGGGGGCAACGCGGTGGCTGTCTTGGCTTGTTGGAGTGGGCGCTTATTATCATGGGAGCCCAGACCCGCCAGAAGCCCAACTGCGAAGGATTCGGGGATGCGGTTGCTGGAGTTTGCCCCCAACGATGAGTTAGTTGGGTCCGGAGGCTTCCGCTCTCGTGCATGAAGTGCCGTTTGGCGTGAGTATTCGGAAGGAGTTAGGCAAATGCAAGTCTTGCCTGGCTAACAAATGTCTTACAATGGGGTGGTGAAGGTGGGATGAAAGCTCAATCATGTACACTGGAGAGATTAATCCGTCGGAGTTGCATTGCGCTTCGAGGTGGGGGAAGTCAGCTCCGAGTAATAATATAATGCAGCTTGTTATCTAATGGGTTGCACGAGAATTTTCGAGGTAGTGCGGCAGTCTGTGCTCATGAGAGGCTTGTGTGAGTGAGGTTGAGTAAGTGGCTTTTGTTGATAGCTCATGGAGGGGGGTGAGGGCAAAATTGGTACAGGTAATTTAAAGGTAAGTAGAGGATTCGAGTAGACCTGTGACGCATGCCATTGAGGAGCGGCGATTTTCCCGTTGAAGGCTATGATTTATGGATACAATAGTTTGCGCATGACGCGTTTCTCATTTTATCTTTTCTTGCGCTGGGGTTTTCATCTCTGCGGTGTCGTTGTGTGTCGTTGGTGGATGGCATGCAGTTCAACCGTAGGCTCTAGCCGAGACATTGAGCACGGGGCACAAGGCGCTTCTTTACTTGAGAGATTCGATGTCAAATTTCGGAATCTGGGTCGTGAGCACGGACGGGGGCACAGACAGTTTGACAGATGGGACAGCCGCATGGAGAAAAGCTTTCTGCCTTTCAGTTGCAGGGGTGGACAATTGCTATGCAAGGGTATCTTGTTTCTCGCGGCATTCGTTGCTGGCGGCGAGCCTCCTTGGCGAGTCTCCTCGGAACGACTGGCAATGGAGTAAGAAGATGTTGTTGCGTAGAGAGAGGACCGAGTAACTAGATGAAGTGGTCAGGCATAGTAAGATATGCATGGTTGGGCTGAGATCTGGTTGCCAGGCATGACCCTGGCTACACAACAGCGGAGAGAGTCTGTGTTTGTACCTACTACCTGTACGAATAAGTATTCAAGTCAGAGACTGGTGCTAGTCCCCCAGTGAGCCGCTGGGAGATGGCGATGAGGGCGCTGGTCGTGGCCAGCGATTGGATCACGACTGGGCTGAATGGTATGCAGGAGCCAGCATGGAGGAGGAGAGGGAAAAGAGGATGCGCGGGGAGTGGATCGGAGGCTTGCGGGCTGGCGATAGTATGTACATACATACATTAATTAGTGCAGATTTAACCTGTAAAGGTACTGTCTTTGCTGCGTACCTGCCTTTCACGTATGATTTCGTTGGTAGTTGTATTTACCTCACAAAGGCAGGTATCGGCGGCAACTCTCTCAGCTGATGCGCCCGTTTGCCGTCTTGCATTATCCAACGTTAACGGAATCTCGCCTTACCAAGACTGGAGTCAAATACGCATTGTTAACTTTGCTTTGCTTTTCCCCGGCCTCGCAACGGGCTCGTTGTAGCACCTGGCAGCACCTGGCAGCTGGCAACCAAGGTATCCTTACCCAGGTATCCAAGCAGTGATAGGTTAGTACCTACCTATGTATGTAGGTACTCTGTGCCTGAGTATTTGCTAATATTGTGACGGTATCTACATAGGTACAGGTAATAAGGTACCTCCAGCTTGGTTGCGGAGAAATAAATTCTCGTGTGCCATGCAAACGCCGGCCAAAGCCCTTGTACGACCTGCTACATACCTGCTCTCGACGCCTTGACGCCTCGCATCATCGGCCGGCTACATCTCTTCCCCGTCCTATTGCAATGATCGCCAATTCATCTTCTGTCAGACACACCGCGCGCACATCATCCATCCCATTATTTGCATTCCTACCCACCAGTCCACGTAGGTGTTGCAATCACCCTCACTCAGCTTTGTCCATCCCCACCCTTTTTTGCTTGACTTGCTTCAGCCACTAACTCAACTGCCAATAGTAGCCGCGCTGCTGTCGCCCATTTCAACCAGCGACAAGCAACTCCAAAGAAAAGACTTGGCGGCCATACCCGAGCCGACCTACTAACGTAGTTATGTACCAGTATATTTTGCCCTTTCGCTACCACCCGTACAGCCGTCCCGCCCTCCAAAGTTGACCATGATGCATCCCTTTGGTCCAGGACACATCATGACATCCCAACACATGTCTCGACCCTCAGCGCCTGTCTCGTTTCCGAAACTTGTCTGGCCCCTGCAACGCCACCAACGATAAGAATGAAGAAAAAGGCCACTGATGGATAAACAGAAGACGAGGACGAGGAAGAAGAAAAAGACCACGCTGACACTGCAACCCCATGCCGCTCCTGTCAAATTGTGTCGTAACTGCCAGTTGATGGTGTGCCAGCGCCTTCATACTTTGCTTTGTTTCTCGCCCCAAAAAGGCTACTGCAGCCGCGCAACAGAACCCTACCCATGCGGCACCGCTTGAAAGCTTGCAGCAGCCAACGGGAAGATATCCGGCCAGCTTGTGGGACGCAACTCGTATCGAGCTCCAGGCCATGTACAACTTACAACCAAGTCTTTGTTAAGCACGACGACTACACTGTACGTCTCACAACGGACAAAAAGTAAGTTGGTTAGCGGGCTATGCTTGCAGGCATAAATTAATCTGCTGAGTTCTGAAAGAATTTTCCTTGGCCGTCTCATCCGTATCTACCAACAGCAAAGGACAGACGCGGAGAGCGGCGAATTAACGTGTTACCCACAGTCTTGAGAACCCGCTTTTCCAACCAGTTTTCGATGAGATCTCGTTTAGTTAGCCCATTGTCCTCGGAGTTATCCAACATTCCAGTCGACAATGTCCTTGTTTCTGCGAGTTGCGAGCATGTTGTAAGACGAAAGTTTCCCTCTCCACCCGCTAGCCTTACAACCGAAACCGTGATCCAAAGCTCATTTCAACGCTTATCACAACTAACATCTGCCGTCTCATCGCTAAAACCTTCCAGAGTGGGAAGAGACTTTACTGGTACACCTTGCCTTGAAACTAAGCGGACTCGATAGGTGCTGTTTCCGCAACAATCAACTCCCAGTATCCTGTGAGGACGCAAAGCTCGCGGCTCACCAGAAGCTACCCAAGACCGCTAGCCTCAAGAAGATGGCCTTGCAGCCCATTATGGCCTCCCATGGGTATAATTGATGGCTTGCGTGCGCCCTGGCAAGACAAGCTACTGCAGGCAACACCGATCAAGGCGGGTTCGTCCTTTGCGTTGCAGCCTTGTTCATATGCATGCACTAGGTAGGTAGTGGAGGTACTCCAAGTAGCTGCTTGGGGTCAGACAGCCAAAGCTCGCGGAAGTCGGAATACAAGCCAGTGACCTCTTCACCTCCACCCTATTCAAAAGGAAAGAAAATCGGCAATGTGGCCATCACCAAGCGCTAGCTGAGGAAACACTGTCCAAGTCTGCTGTTTAGATTGCGATACTTAGCTAAAAGATACAGGGGACGTAAGGCAGCCACCTCCATGCTCAGGGGCCAAAACACCCATCGCTTGTCTGCACCTTCATTCACTATGCTGCCCCAAAGTGCAGTCATTACGACGCGCCAAAAACATCACCCAACAATGCCTCATCACGGACAAACTGCAAGGGCCTGGACAGGAGGGTGGACCGCCTGGAGAGAGGACAGGGGAGCTCATCCTTGTGCTGCCCACTCACACCAAGCTAACAGCTGCAACATCCTGAACCCGGCTTTTGTCTGCTGCTGGTTGGCCGCCAACCGCCCACGCTTCTGCGGATTGGTGTGTTAGTTGAGCTACTCATTATGACTGGTGCTAATGTAACTGGTATGGCTGCGAGTGGGGGGGGGTTGTTGTTGTTGTTGTTGCATTGTGGCATCTCTGTCCTTCCAATAGCAGTGCGGCTGCTTTGCCAAAGTTACAGCAAATGACATGCCACAGAGGCACATGTGTATCCTTTCGAATGAGTTGCTGGCCTGGCCCATTCGTTTCCGTGCCACCTGACCAACCTGGCAGAGCGATGCAGCTTTCTGTGCTAGCGGACTCTCGCCAGGTCCAGCCAGAACAACATGAGCCACCGTTGCAGCTTTCTCAATGTCTTGGATGGCCCTTGATCAGTAGCAACAAGTTGTACTCAATTCTGGGCAAGATTCGTTCTGGCTAGAGTACCTAATTTGTCGACTATTGGCTCAAGAGACAAATGTGTGGAGGACTGTTGGGGGCCAGCCTTGAGCAGCTACTCTCTTCGTACTCTCGCTCTCACGACGGGCATCCGTGGACCCTTCGAATCAGGAATGAGCCAAGATTCGTTAACCCAGACTGGCCGGCCGATATGCGTGGATGCACTGCGGGCGCTAGTATTTAGTCTCTTGCCGGGCCAAAAAATCGCCGCAGTCGGTATCCAACTTGACATGGGGTGCGGTGTGGTGCAGCATCCGGTGTCCTCTTCAGATACTCACACCACACCCCCCTCTCTGTCGCCACCACACCACTTCCTGTCTGGGTTCACATGGATGCACTCATTGAGCTTCGCCCAGGCTACGGACTAATCCCCTGCATCTTTCATCGTGGTCCACCCCGGGCTTGAGGCATATGGCTTGGGCCGGGGTCCTGGTGCATGTCCATCTGTACCAGAACAGAGGTCGTCTACTCTGCCGTACGCCCGCTCTTTTCCTACAAGTATTCCCGTCACGCCCGTTCATCATATCTCGACCTTCCTTGTTCCGAGATCCTTTCTGTCTGATTCACATGTTCTGCTTTACGGGGAGCTACTCTTAGCCACCGAGTCAGAGTCTCGTTTTCGTTAACGACCTACGCCTCTTTTTGTGCCGTTCATTATATCTTGGACATACTCTTGGACTAATACGCCTTCGCACTTTCCAAACCTCAAGCCAAACTCAAAATCGCAACCTCTCTCTCGCAAAAAAAGGCACTGTGAAAGGCAACGTTGGCCCCGATCCTCCGTCGTCGTTTACTCTATCACTCAACGTTCTGTCCTACCTTCTCTACTCTACCGTTTCGGAATCGGGTTGTCAAAGCGCGGACATGAACCCATGTTCCTTCGACCTAACTTAACTTTGAAAATTCGCCGATAAAGGGACAGTTCGCAGCTGTAAGCAGCTCAATAGCCAGGCTTTGGAAGCTGTCAAGCCTGCAGTTCCACATACTACTCGTTCATTGTTGTCGTGATCTCGACAGCGCAAGCTTCACAATGTATGTATGCTCTTTGCTTCTCTTGGACACCGCTGTCGAAGATGTCGTCGCTGAATGTGGAAACTCTAACCATGCTATACAGCTACGTTCCATCGACAAGATCATAAGCATCGGCAATATGAAATCTGACACGAGTCAGACAGACGAATCACCTGGGAATGAGGCTGTGATCAACTCCGGCCATTATCCTCAAGGCTCATGGCAGAATGCAAGCCCTTATACTGAAAGTCCCTACGGAAACAGTCCCTTGAACTACTCCGCCCATTTTTCAACTTTCATGCCCCACGGAATGCCGTCAGAATCACTCTCAGGCATGCCGGCTACATTGCACAACACCCAACTGGGGCACACAGGACACATGGCTCACCATCATTTACCCATGCTGAATACAACTACAACATGGCCGAGCGAGCTGACGCATACCCAACCGCCGAGCACGTATTCTGTTCCGTCCAACACATTGCCCCCAGCAACTATGAGTACTATGTGCACAGCAAGGCCTCCTGAGAAAACAAGGAAGACATTAAGTTTCGAACAAAAGAGAGACATGTGTCTGTATCACCAGCAGCACCCCAAAATCCGACAGGCTGATATTGGACAAGTCTTTAGAGTGGAACGAAGGTATGACTTCAATGTGAGACTAGATTCTTTCGCGGACTAACTTAAGGGACTGAAGCACTGTGTCCAAAGTTTTGCGCAACAAGGAAATGTATCTCAAAGGCGACGCAGACAAAGATTCCGACGGAAAACGTGCCAACGGGAAGAATCCCGACTTCGATCGTACTCTCGGCAATTATATTCGGCGCCAGAGAGAGCGGGGGATTCCGATGAGCGACTCTGATATCATGGACAGAGCATGCCAATATGCTCGGGGTAGCCCCAATCACCAGGCAATTCTCGACAGGCTGACGCCCGCCTGGCTCAACAGGTTTAAGCAAAGATATTCGATTGATACCGTGAGCCTGATCAGACGCGCTTCCGAGCCGAGCATACCAGAGAAACGGTCAATGTCTGCAAGGTTCCCGAGTATTTCGCCTTCATCCCCGTCAGGGCAGACTTCGCCACTGTCTGTAAGCCCTAGCGACGACGACTTACGATCCCGAGGAGATTACAGTTTTACGTATCGTCAATATGCATCCCACTCCGAGACCTCATTGACAGACAACGCAACGTCGTCCTTTTCTTCAGAACTCATCAGCCCTGTTGGCGCGTTTGACTACTCGCCGGATGGGACCTCGTCGGCATTTCCTTTGGATCCCGAGTTCGAAGCCGAGCAGAAAAAAAATGAGTCATTGAGACCAATGGAGTTGGATTACACCAGCCAAGCCAATACAGGCTCGACCGACTCTGTGCTGATGACCCCGCGCAACATCAACGCCGTCTGCAAGCAGGAATCCCCTGCTGCGGCTGACACCATGGCTTCCATCCCTGACAGAGGTGACGATGGAAAAGTGTCGAAAGTCGGCGCCGGGATATCACGGACGGCTCCGAGCTCGGAGGATGCGCAGCGCGCGGCAGCGACCCTGCTGAACTATCTCCAAAACCTGGGCCAGTCTGGCCAGTTCGACCACGAGTACTCGGCCATCATGCAGCTCACTAGGAAGCTCGACATACAACCCCGCCACTTTGCACAACATGGCACGGGCGGGCTTGCGAGAATCGTAGAAGGGGAGGTCGATCTGATCACGGCAGGTGGTGGACGCGGCAATTGAACGATGCGCGAACGAAAAACATTCAACAGGTAGGTAAGCAATTCGGTGCTTTTGGGGAACTTTTGATGATCTTGATTGATACTCTCCCCTGCTTTGTTCATTTGTTCCTGGCTTGACACTCAGTTCTTTACTCTTTCGATTTTCTTTTTGGCGTTTTGAGGGAACTTGATCCCCATACAGTCGCACGTCACGGGGACCACCAGTAACATGGTGCCATTTCTTATTCTTTTTTGTTTTTTGATGGCGGTTGACGGAGAAGGGTAAAACACAAAAATCGTTTCGAGACTATGAAAGATTGGGAGGCAACTCTTACCATGTCTGGCAACAGACGACGGTTCGGCGACGAACCCATTGGGACATACACGGGCAGAACACGAGAAAGCCAAAGACTGAGGCCGTGTTTTTTTTTAATTATCCAACCGTTGTTTTTTGAAGGTGCGGTTTTCGCAATTTGTTTTTTATTTTATATGTTGCATTTTAGTCAGTTTATTTCCTTGGTCACAAAAATGACACCGAGCTGGCTCGATACCCCTTTTCAGAATAAACGATGCTCAAGATTACGTCTTTCCTCGTAATGATGCGGTTTTATGCGTAAAAGGGTATCATTATACTGCACTGTAAATAATAGCAAATTACATGACGAAAAAAACAGAACAAGCAGAAATCTGTCAACCGAGTCTCTCTTCCCACAACTCGCCTACGCCCTTTTCGGTGAGTTCCGGCATCAGGCGGACCAGAATCAGCTCCAAGACGCTATACATGAGGTGCTTGTTGCAGTACTCGTCGTCGAGCACCATGAGAAGGTCCTCCATGCCCTCCTCCATGCCTGTGGCGGTCTCCTCTTGTGCGCTTCCGCCGCCACTGCTGCCGCCGCCTAGGTAGACCCTGGCCACGCCCGTCGGCAGCAGACGCAGCAGGGCACAGGCGGCCCTCTTGCGCAACGCCGCGAACTCGTCGTCTGAGGATGGAGGCCTAAGCGTCGACTGGCCGGGCGCGTTGTTGGGGAAGAGGACGCCCCGCAGCATACGCAACACGCCGGGCAGGTGCGACGCGGAGAACATTTGTTGAATGTGGTGGGAGAGGAGTCTAGGCCAAGTCTTGTGTTAGCTTCTTCTTCGTGCTTGCTTCGGTTATTTTCTCTTGTCAAGAGTGTGAGTGGGGGAGAGAGATAGGCCGCGGGCGTGTGTTGTGTGTGACTGTATAAGCCGGCAGTTGGGTGAAGTTTTCAGCTCATGGCGATGGTGTGTGTGATATGACTAGAGAAGCCTGGGGTTGTCAAAAAAAAATGGTATGATTTCATGCCCGGTGTACAACGAGCGCCCGGATTTGTTGTGCTCCTTCAGGAAGGTGGCATGTCGTTGTGTGTGACAGCCTGGGGCTCGTGATGCGTTCGCAGAGAGCTCATGCAGCGGCCAAATATCCCGGCCCAGCAAGCGCGCGCATGCGTAGCAAATAGAGCCATTTGGCCGACAAGGCAGCCCATGTCTTGCGCAGAGCGTAGGCCGCCACGCGCAGAAGTGTCGTTCAAGGACACACAAAGACAGCGTGAGACCTTTGGTCACAGTCGCGCAGTGTCTGGGGTCCTCATTCAGATGACGGCAAACCGTTGTGGTTCCTGTCCAACGTTTCGCTAGCCTCCGGGAGCGCCCGTCTCGGTATGGCTTGTGGAAAGGGCAATGGAGGCTTGGTAGAGGAAAGTTGATGACAACGCTATAATAGTCGTGTCGTACTGGCCTAGCCGAAGAAGGCCAAGGATGCAAAAGTCCCAGCCAGGCCAGGCACGCTGCAGGTCGGCGCGTAAAATTGGACGATCTCGATGCGTGGTTGGCTGGCTTCGTTGGGACGGCCCGTTCGATTGATCGATAGCAGGGACGGAGGCGCCTTTTGTGCTACCATTGGATGGTGGCGTTGGGACTAGACCAAGGAACAACAAATTGCGGGCATCATGAGGGGAAGCATGCAAACAACTCATGGCGTAGTGATACTGGCACACCATGGCGTTGAACATGATTCTTTCTGTACCATTGTCCATGGGGACAGCTGCAATTATCAATCAGGCTGCGATGGGGTTGGCCGGCTTCGGCACGGCCCTTGTTAGGCGGGCCGATGCGGGCTTGTGCTCCCGGATGCAGACCTTGTGACGTCGAGGGCATAAAATAACGGGTATGAGCCAATAGTGAATGGCCCGGAGGGAATATGTTGGGTTGTGTAATAAAAATCGCGACCAAGTGAAACAGCGACTTACCGGTCAAGTGGGCTATTCAGGCCAACCAGCCTTCCTGGTCCATGGACAGCCTGATATTGCACCAGCGAGAGAAACCCGGAAAGCCAGGGCATTCGGGAATCCAGCTGAATAAGGTTCCCGACGCACTGCCACAGTTTGAAGCTAAGTACTGGGACCTTGGTTGGCTTGTCAAGGTCATCGCCGTCGTGCGACTTGCTGGTCCCTCCACCAGTCTTCCTCGCGGCGCCCGAGAATCTTCCCACCAGTTGTCGGGGCGGCAATGAGGACGATGCGGCAAGTGTCGTTATCAGTAGCCGAGCAGAGGAGAATATCATCACCGCAAAGTGGACCATGGTTAGGAAGATAGCTTGCGCCGACCACTTTATGCGCTCCTTCTTGCCCTTTGCCTTGAGTGGAGGCGTGCGCCGGCCAGACACCATCCTTTGCGTAGCTCGCGTCTTCTTCTCCCCAAGCACTCTGCCCGCGATGCAGATGCTCTCATAGAGAAGCCATGGTTGCGATGCTTTGCCCGCGACAATGTTGCCGACAATCAGCTCCGAGAAGATCTGGCCGACAATGGCTGTCAAGCACGGGTTCTCCAGGTCCTCTGTCGGCAACAGAATAGCGAGGACGGCTTGCACTAGAAGCTGGCGGTAAGCAGCCTCGTTTTCTTTTTGATCTTTGACAGATGCTTCATCGCCAGCCTGAGGCACAGGGGAGAGCTGAGGGAGCGGGCAGAGCGCATGGTAGACTTGACGGGGACTGGCCGTCACGGGCTCTTGCGACACAGGGTCATGGCTTGTTCTGTACGCTATTAAGGGTCAGCAGGGTGTTCGAGCTTCTCATCGAGGAGCTTCTTCTGCGCAAACCTGTGATGTGTCTGTCCAGAAGATCTGGTATCTCGTCCAGGACCAGACTCTCCATGTCCAGAGCCCTGAAGCGCTGCTCCAGCGCCCTACTGCAGTGCGCAATCACCTGCAGGACCTCGGCCACAAAGGCCTCGGAGGGCGTGATCTTGTTGTACCAGGCCTGTACGAACTCGCGTATGATGATGGCGAGGAACGCGTACAGCTGCAGGTCGACGTCGTTTCGGCTCGTCAGGGAGGGCAGCAGCTCCTCGATGGGCGGGACGACGTCACGGCCCTTGTCGCTCAGCTTCTGCGGGCAGAGCACGCGGCGGATTAGCACCAGCGTCGCCTTGTCTGATAGCGGATCCATGGATGGCACCCTCTCTAGGCGTCGTCCCTCGCCGGCCGCTGCCGCATCTCGTTGTTGCTGCGCGGCGGACGGTCGAGTGCGCGGGGGGGCCAGCCTCGTCGGCGGCGCGGCCACGGAGGCGCTGCTCATCGGAACGTCGCGCTACTGCTAACAATCGAGTCGCATGTCAAAGTCCCATCGAGAGAAGCGCAGATGTGGTTTGTTGTCGTCTCGCAGCGAGCGTCGTAGGTGTGTTGACGAAGTTGTTGTCCCTTAGGTCTGCCCTTTTGGAAGCTGCCATCACCGTCTGTGGCGCTTGCCTGCTACCTATGTATGTATGTACAGTATGTATGTATGTATGTACTAACAGTACATGCCATGCACGTACATACAGTGGGGTTGTCCGCAATGTCATTTTGCCGACGCTCCCCACAAGGGTCTCTGCGTTGACAATATCTGGATAAATAACATGTCTTACTCTACTACATAGGTAGTCAGGGCATTTCTCCTTCACGTTTTTGTCGATTAAATTCGGTCTTTTCAACTGTGGAGCTTGGTCTATTTCGCTGTTTGGTGTACATACAGTTACATGTTACTTTGTACGGAGTAGATTACATGACAATGTGCGTAGATGGGCCTACACTGCCCATTTGGCTTACTCGTCCTTGGTTGTGGTTTCATATCTGAAAGAAAAAAATTAGTAAATGTTTTGAACTGCATGGAGAAGAAAAACGAACCTCTTGCCACGGAAAGCCCACACACCCCAGTTACCGCAGGTGATGTCCTGAGGGTCCGCATCGTTGAGATCCCACCGCAGACTGCGGAAACTGTTCTCGCCAGGCTCAAGCAGGATATCGAACTCGCCCCGCGACTTGTTTCGCACCCATTCCACATCGCGGTCGAGATCCTGCTGCGTATAGCCAGTGCTAATGATGGGTACCTTGGTCTCCAAAAGCAGAGGCAAAGTCTCCTCCCACTCATGGCTACTGGCAGGGTGGCCCAGACCAGGATGGAATAAAACGAAGCAGTCAAAGTACGGGTCGTATGGCGCAAAGTGTCCAGTCTTGTGGATGGTGTGATAGTAGTCCACAATAGTGCTAATCTTCATCTTGTACCATACTCTGTCCTCGACAATCGCACCGAACGGGTTGGACGGCGTGCGCTCGGGCAGAGGGAACTCGTCGTCCCGGTTTGCCATACTCTCAGGCCCAATCATGATGAGGTGTAGTCTGGACTCGGGGAACAGATGCGCCAGCTGCACCCAGGTAGATCGGGGCAGGGAAGACTCTGCACGAGCTCCCAGCACGAAGACACGAACGGGTGGGGGTTCGGGACGAAGTGTTTGAATCGTAGCACCGCGTCCGGAGCGGCCAGGGTGGAGGTTGTATCTCAAAGCTAATATTGTTAGCCAAAGTCTTAAGCTGAAAGGTCGAGATCACTTACCACTGAAGCTCTTGAGACCTTCGGTGGTGAGACGTCCTCCCTTTTGGATATTGTAGGGGCTAAGCTCATGAAGCACGCTGCCAACAGTAATGGGGTATGTCAACAGGCGGGTGATTTGGCGCATGGCTCGGTCTGAGTCAACAGCATTGAACTCGCGTGTGTACATGAACGTGTCCCAGTTGGTCATGTTCACGGCGGCATCGTCCAGCTGGAGATCAGGCAAATTGGCCTCATGAAAGACTCTTCCGGAGCGCAAATCATGATCGTCCTCGTTGATCTGGCGCAGGGTGTCGCAAATCTTCAGATGCTCCTCGTAATGATCCATCCAGTGCTCCTTGCTGCAGTATACGGGAATTCCACAGTCTGGGCACTCAAAGTCAACCTTTGCAGGAGGCATGTCGCCTCTTTTGGGTTGCTCGCTCGCGGGAAGGGTCGACATCTTTGTCGGCTGGTGGTCTGGGTGAGGACAGTAGGCGTGCTGACGCATAAATGCGGCGCGGCGTCGGAATTCGGGCACAGGGGAGTCGGTAAAGGAGTGAAAAAGGTCATCCTGTGAGAGCTTGACGGAGGTGGCCACGGGAGGCTTGTCGGAACTGCTGAAGCTAAACGATGGCGCGGATTGAGACGAGTAATCTCTCGCGGCGGGCGTTGCCGCAGTCGTTGTCGCCTTGATCGCCTGTTTGTTTGAGGCAGTGGTTGAGGTCTTGGAGAGGCTCGACATGGCGGCAAGTTGCCTGGCAGCGCCTCGCTGAGCTAGACGTCCCCGAAGAGCTGTAGAGCATTGGCCGCAGAGGCTCTGTGCCGCGCGACGAAGAGACGGCTCCATACTTGCTGAATTGTCGCAAGACTGAGCTGTTCTTGATGCGATTGAGTTGTGGGCAAGCTGGCTTAGTTATCGGATGTTTTTTTACGAACATTATTAGAGGACGGAGCTGTCGGCCCACTTTGGATGCCGAACACTGAACACTCGAGCATATACATGAAATGTCAGTGTTGAGATGAATAAATTGTTGTTGTTGATTAGCGTTACAATTTCAATTCATATTTACATCTTTCTGGTTTTCTTTTTGTTTTCCAGGAATTGTTTTCAGGCAGCCAGCTACGAGCAGTTCTTATTCGGCTCAGAGCATCACACAGGTACTGCGGTGCGACCCACTCGGCCAACCGCATTAACTTTCCTCCATCGCTAATTAATCCATCCAAGGTCCTACCCAAACATTTTCAATCTTGCAGAAGCTGTTCTGGAGCATCCCACCAGCTACACATGTAGAAACTTTGCGGCTGACGCCCACTCTCCAACCACAGCTCTAAGCCGCGCAGGCTCATCTGCGCCCAGACAGGAACATGGCGACCACTTCCAACATGTTCCTTTACTCGCTGACGATTCAGCCGCCAACCAATGTCGTCCAAGCAGTTCTGGGGCAGTTTGCTGGCACAAAAGAGCAGCTCATCATCACGGGCTCTGGCTCCCAGCTGACTCTTCTGCGTCCTGATCCAGCGCAAGGCAAAGTTATTCCCTTGTTGTCACATGACATCTTTGGAATTCTACGCTCAATTGCAGTTTTTCGGCTAGCTGGAGGCAGTAAAGGTCGGTAGCACGAGAGCGCGGTCGCGCCGTACCCCAGACGCGATAAGCTAACAGACCATAGATTATGTTATTCTCGCCACAGACTCTGGCCGAATCACAGTCCTGGAGTATCTCCCCGCGCCGAACCGTTTCAACCGCGTGCATATGGAAACTTTTGGCAAAACGGGCATTCGGAGAGTCGTGCCAGGCGAGTACCTTGCGTGTGATCCCAAGGGAAGAGCTTGTCTGATATCGGCTGTCGAGAAGAATAAGCTTGTGTATGTTCTCAACCGCAATTCGCAAGCAGAACTCACAATTTCCTCTCCTCTTGAGGCGCACAAGCCTGGTGTGCTAGTCATTGCCATGACCGCCCTCGACGTCGGCTATGCAAACCCTGTCTTTGCTGCCCTAGAGATTGAGTACACCGAGGTAGACCAAGATAGCACAGGAGAGGCTTTATCCGAGGTTGAAACCCAGCTCGTATACTACGAACTGGACCTTGGACTCAACCACGTTGTGCGGAAATGGTCGGACCCTGTTGACCCCACCGCTTCTCTACTCTTTCAGGTACCCGGAGGCAACGATGGCCCAAGTGGTGTTTTGGTTTGCGGTGAAGAAAATATCACATACCGCCATTCGAACCAAGACGCTTTACGTGTGCCGATTCCTCGCCGGCGAGGCGCCACGGAAGACCCCTCCCGAAAACGCAATATTGTGGCTGGTGTTATGCATAAGCTCAAAGGAAGTGCCGGTGCTTTCTTTTTCCTATTACAGACTGATGATGGTGACCTGTTCAAGGTCACAATCGACATGGTTGAAGACGATGAGGGAGCTCCGACTGGCGAAGTGCAGCGAATGAAAATCAAGTACTTCGACACGGTGCCAGTGGCCACGAGTCTCTGCATTTTGAAGAGCGGTTTCCTCTATGTTGCAAGTCAATTCGGCAACTACGCGTTCTACCAATTCGAGAAGCTTGGTGACGACGACGAGGAGTTGGAGTTTTCGAGCGAAGATTTCCCTGTTGACCCACTGGCTGCCTACGAACCTGTTTACTTCTATCCCAGACCAGCAGAGAACTTGGCGCTTGTGGACAGCATTCCTGCCATGAATCCTCTGCTAGATTGCAAAGTCGCCAATCTAACAGGCGAAGACGCTCCCCAAATTTACACTATTTGCGGCAACGGCGCAAGAAGCACATTCCGGACTCTGAAGCATGGCTTAGAGGTAAACGAGATTGTTGCGTCTGACCTTCCTGGTGTACCCTCAGCAGTCTGGACGCTGAAGCTGAACAGTGACGAACAGTACGATGCATACATCGTTCTGTCATTTACCAACGGCACCCTAGTGCTCAGTATCGGAGAAACTGTCGAAGAAGTCGGCGACTCAGGCTTCCTCACCAGCGTTCCTACCATTGCCGCCCAGCTTCTTGGAACAGATGGTCTCATTCAGGTACACCCCAGGGGCATTCGACATATTCGCAACGGCAACGTGAACGAGTGGTCGGCTCCTCAGCACAGATCTATTGTTGCAGCATCAACCAACGCACACCAAGTAGCCATTGCCCTTAGCTCTGGCGAAATCGTTTACTTCGAAATGGATTCTGACGGATCGCTCGCCGAATACGACGAGAAGAAGGAAATGTTTGGTACCGTTACTGCTCTCAGCCTTGGCGAGGTTCCTGAAGGTCGTGTTCGCAGCTCTTTCCTTGCAGTCGGCTGCGACGATTCTACCGTCCGAATTCTCAGTCTTGACCCCGAGTCGACACTTGAGAACAAATCCGTACAGGCATTGACTGCTGCACCAACATCTTTGGCTATCATTCCTATGGATGACTCGTCATCTGGCGGATCCACCCTCTACCTCCATATCGGGCTTCATTCCGGCGTCTACCTTCGCACCGTCCTGGACGAAATCACTGGAGAACTTACCGATACGCGACAAAAGTTCCTTGGCCCGAAGCCAGTCCGATTATTCCAGGTCACGGTCAGCGGACGCACCTGCGTCCTAGGACTAAGCTCCCGCCCTTGGCTTGGATATGCCGACCCTATCACAAATAGCTTCGAAATCACTCCTTTGAGCTATGTCGACCTGGAATGGGGCTGGAATTTTAGCAGTGAGCAGTGCGAGGACGGTGTGGTCGGCATTCAAGGGCAGTCTTTGAGGTAAGGTCAACCCCTTATACCTTGCTTTTTTTTTCACAGTGCTACATGATGAGACTTAAGGATCCCAAGCCAAATGGCGATGAGGTTTTACGCATTATTTCCAATTGTTCCTACTGACATGCACTTTCACTGCCCCTTTTCCAACTGCAATTCACTTTTATGCAGTGGACAGTGCTAATGGATTTACAGAATCTTCTCGATAGATCGCCTGGGTGAGACTTTGATTCAAAGTTCAATCCCACTTACATATACACCGAAGAAGCTCGTCAAGCACCCAGACGAGCCGCTGTTTTACACAATAGAAGCAGACAATCACACGCTGCCCCCAGATCTTCAGGCGAAGCTGCTCGCAGACCCTGCGGCCGTGAATGGTGACGCCAAGGTGCTACCACCTGAAGACTTTGGTCACCCTAAAGGCAACCGTCGCTGGGCATCTTGCATTAGCGTGGTTGATCCAGTATCGGAAGAGCCGAGCGTGCTGCAGCGGGTTGATTTTGAGAATAATGAGGCTGCAGTCAGTGCGGCTGTTGTGAGCTTTGCAAGCCAAGACGACGAGAGCTTTTTGGTAGTAGGCACTGGAAAGGACATGGTTCTCAACCCACGAAGCTCTTCAGAGGCGTATATTTACATTTATCGGTTCCAAGCGGGCGGGCGCGAACTCGAATTCATTCACAAAACTAAGGTCGAGGAGCCAGCGACGGCTTTGTTGCCCTTCCAGGGCAAGCTGTTGGCGGGTATCGGCAAGACGTTGCGCATGTATGACTTGGGTATGCGTCAGCTGCTTCGCAAAGCTCAAGCTGAAGTTGTGCCTCAACAGATTGTGTCGCTGAATACACAAGGAAACCGCATCGTCGTTGGTGATGTTCAGCAGGGCGTGACACTTGTCGTCTACAAGCCCGCTTCGAACAAGCTTATTCCGTTTGTCGATGACAGTATTGCTCGCTGGAGTACCTGCACGACCATGGTGGACTACGAATCAGTCGCAGGCGGCGACAAGTTTGGCAACATGTTTATTGTTCGCAGCCCTGCCAAGGCTAGCGAGGAGGCAGATGAGGATCAGGCTGGATTGCATTTAGTCAATGCTCGCGACTACTTGCATGGTACGCAGTATCGACTGGAGCTGATGTGTCATTTCTTTACACAAGATATTTTGACGAGCATTAGCAAAACCAGCCTGGTTGTTGGCGGGCAAGATGTCCTGCTTTGGAGCGGTATCATGGGAACCATTGGCGTCTTTATCCCATTTGTGAGCCGTGAAGACGCCGAGTTTTTCCAAAGCCTGGAGCAGCACCTCCGCACAGAGGACGCGCCTCTTGCTGGGCGAGAGCACCTCATGTACCGCAGCTACTATGCGCCGGTGAAGGGTGTGATTGACGGAGACTTGTGCGAACGGTTCGCCATTTTGCCAAATGACAAGAAGCAAATGATTGCTGGAGAGTTGGATCGATCTGTGCGCGAGATTGAGCGAAAGATTTCCGATATCCGTGCGAGATCGGCGTTTTGATGATGTCTATTTTATCAGCGAGTTACATGTACACAGTTTCAGGTGGACGGCTACTTGGACAAGAGGAATGTTACCGGCGTTTTTGTGCAAGGCAATCAAAGACCCCAACGAGGGTGATTACTGGCGAAGCATATTGGAGTTTTCAAATAGGATCCAAAATAATCAATTTCACAAGATGATGTCTATATATACAGTACTATGCTAGTTGGAGATGTATGTATGTGTGTCGCACGAGCTCTATCTTCTGGAGCCGAAGAACCTCTGCATGATGCCCGTCCTCGCCTTGCTCTCGTCGCGCCGCTGCGCGCGCTCCCAGGCCTCGTCGCCAAAGTAGTCGTCGACGGCGCGCTCGAGGTCCCAGCCGGCCTGCTCGAGGTAGAGGCGGGCGACCTCATAGTCGGCGAGCTTGCAGGCGGTCATGAGGCGGCGGATCTTGGCGCGGCGCAGCTCCTCGGCCTCGCCCTCGACGGGCCGCGGGGAGAGGCTGACGCCGGCGCGGTAGAAGGCGCCCGGGATGAGCACGGTGCGGCGGGCGACGAGCAGGTGGTCGCTGTGTATGTGGTTGGCGCGGCGCAGGGCGTCCTGCGGCACGCCGTAGCGTAGGGAGAGCGAGGGGATGCTGTCGTGCTCGTGGTTGAGGAAGTGCAGGGTGTCGTCGGCGCCGGACTTTTCATCCTCGACGGCGGCGGCAGAGTTGCAGCAGGCCATGTATGGCGGTGGCGATGATAACGGTGGTGGTGGCGGACGTTGGGCGGCGTTGATACGGGAGGGTGCTTGGTAGTATGCTGGGGGCGCTTTGAGGCCTTGCGGCAACGGGTTGGGTTCGCTGGATATTTGGCAGTAGGGGCAGTAGGTTGCGAAGCGTCCGTTATTCTGAGGGCAAGTGTTGTTAGTTTGGATGATGGGTATAATGTCGGTATAGGTTACGACGCTGGATGCAGGTCGGCTGCAATAACGTACCACGATGCAGTCACCACATATAATCCTACCACAGCAAGGCACCCGGCGCTGATCCGGCGGCGGCTTCTCAGAGGTGTACTTGCCGCCGTCGGGTGATAATATCGTCGCACAGGTACTGCATGTCTCCATGGCCAGTTGTCGTTGCGTTTCAGGATGGAGGTGGCAGCGTGGCAAATAGGCTGCGATGGAGGTGGACAGGATATACGTTGGTTTAGAGGGGTATGGGGACTTCCGATTTTGTATCTAGGGAATAGAAGTCGAGCGGATCGGTTTCGTACTGAAACTAGGGTTGTAGATGGAGGAGACGAATAATTCAAGAGTTGCGAACGAGAGAGATCAGATGACGAGCGATCTCGGTTAGGCAAGACATCATGTTAGTTGCTGATGCCGCGGGGCAAAAAGCTGACTGATCAGATCGACGCAACATGGCACACCTCGAAACGGATGATATCAGAGGAAGTCAGCCATATCAGCGTTTTTCTACGATAAGCGTACTTTCCCATGCATGGTTTTATTCCGAGTTATAGATCGAACTCCCGGGTAAGCAGTACCATGCTCAGCCCGTCTCATCACATGTCGCTACTCTTGCTACTGAGTGCGTATTGATGAGAGATTCGAAAACCTTTGAAGCTACTGGGGGTAACTAAGACTTTCTTTTTATTTTGAAATATTATAAATAGCTTTACGCGGAGAACAACAGTTAAAACACAATACGCGAGTTTTGGATGACCACATGGGCTGGCGGTTGGAGCTTCTGGTGGCGAGCTCCACTACGGTTTCCCTAGACGAGATGGAACTTCCTCGACAATCGCAGCCTTTCAAGACAAAGCCTAAGCGCTTCTCTTCAACCACCACGCGACATCCCATAAGAACACGCCGAGGCGAGATAGCGCCTATCTAACTACAGAATCAACTTGTACGGAAACGCCCAAATTCTGCGAACTACCACTATTCTACCATTGTCGATCTGCGCTCGACAGGCCGCTCTACAATGAGCAAGCCATTAGCCTTCGGGCTGAACCTCAAGAAGCCCAGCGCTTCCAAGCCCGCTGCGCCGCGTCGCAAGCCCATACTTGGCGGTGACGAATCCGACTCCGACAGAGAAGATGGAGATTCCAACACAAAAATCCAGGCGATTGGCGGCGACCTCGAGGACGATTTCGGCGCCTCGCGACCACAACTAGACTCTGGGCCGCGCAAGCCCAAATCAAAACCCGGACTGGCTGCGAATGGGCCGCCGCCAAAGCTCAATGCAAAGTCACAACATAATGCAATGTTTGGCGATCTGTCAAGCTCGCTCGCGTCGCGCAAGAATGCTGCGGCCGCGGCCGAGGTCGACGCCAGCGTGTACGAGTACGACAACGTCTACGATTCGTTCAAGCCCAAAAAGCAAGCGACGAAAGAAGACGTAGAGAAGAAGCCAAAATACATGAAGAGCCTGATACAAGCCGCCGACGTGCGCAAGCGCGACTTGCTCATCGCCGAGGAGAAGAAGATTGCGCGCGAGCGCGAGGCGGAAGGCGACGAATTTGCCGACAAGGAGAAATTCGTGACGGCGGCGTACAAGAAGCAGCAGGAGGAAAATAGACGGATAGAAGAGGAAGAGAAGAAGCGGGAAGAGGAGGAGGCCAAGAAGAACAAGGCCGGTGGCATGTCGGCGTTTTATCGCCAAATGCTGGACAAGGACGAGCAGCGCCACGCCGAGTCCGTCAGGGCGGCCGAAGAAATGGCCAAGAATTCTAGCAGCAAGAAGGATGATGCTAATTCAGGCGTCGAAGAAGATGAAGAGGACGACGAGAATGCACAAGCGGCGCGCGCCAGAGCCATGAACGAAAAAGGCGCGTCCGTCGACGTCAACGAGGACGGGCAGGTGGTGGACAAGCGCCAGTTGCTGCGCGGCGGTCTCAACCTGGACAAGAGGAAGGCGGCGGCCACGCAGCAGCAACAGCAGCAGGGCAGACCAGCTGAGCGCGAGCGCAAGGACGGTCATGCGCAGGGGCAGGCCGGCCGGCGACAGGCCATGCGGGAGCGCCAGTCGCGGATTATGGAGGAGCAGCTGGAGCAGTCGATGAAGCGCGCGTTTGACGAGGAGGAGGCCAAGAAGGAGGAGCTGGAGAGGGCGTCCAAGAGCCGCAAGACGGAGGGCGAGATCTCGAGCGCCAAGGAGAGATACTTGGCCAGAAAGCGGGCGGCGGAGGAGGCCAAAAAGAACGGCAGCGCCGCACCGTGAAGATGTAATGACAGTCCATAGACAGAAAATGCATGTACAACAAATAGATACCCTCGAAAACGAGCCATTTTCTTCGTCGTTTTGAAACCTCTTGTCTTTGAGAGGCCAGGTTGATATTCTATCTGAGCTTAATATGGCAGCTCGAATCTATAGGTACATATATCCCGGACATATAGCCCAAAAACGACATCGTATATTATACAGGCTGCTTCTCTTTTCAATAGCAGCCGCGACCGCGATAACCTTGGCCATCATGGTCCCCAATTGTCAAGTTTCCATTATATGCTTGGCAGAGGAAGCCCTGTATCGGTTTCCTCTTTCCTTTTTCGTAAATTTCGTCCGGCCCGACTAGTGGTACAGAAAGGGCTCGATCGGAGAGCCGTTCCCTTATAGGCCGCCCTGCTCGCGGCGGACGCGGGAGATGAAAGCCGCGTTGACCTGGTTCCACGCCGCCATGTACTTTTCCATGCACGACGTGACGCAGGTCTCGTCGCTCTTGGAAAGGGAGCCTCCGGGCTTCGTGATGCACTTATCGAAGCAGTTTATTTGGACGTTCTGCGGTTGCTTGTCAGCTTTTTGTCGCTGGGCGGCGCGTGGTCCGGGGGAAGATGCGACGAACCTCAATCAAAGTGCGGGCGTTGGCAAGGTTGGACTCTTCAAGAACCTGCTTCATAACAGCCTTCTTGACGGAGTCGGAGTCGGACATTGTGGCGGTGTTGACGGTGTGACGGATTGGAATTGAAGTTCGAACAGTTCGAGATGTAACTGCTGCGCTCGCGACTTCAGGAAGCAGTTGGAAAAAAGAAATGTGGCGCATAATGTGGCTGGTGGAATGTGGCGTTGCAGTAGCATGTGCTGAGGCAACTTTTTTGACAAGCCAGGAAAGGCCCTGGCAAGTCCAGAGCAAAGCGGGCACCACAGGCAGCTTGGCTCCAAAGAGGACAGCTGTAGCTAGGGGCCGATCCATGACCGCACTCCAACTTCCACTCTTTTCCCTCCCAACGCCAGCGAAAGCTTGCCCGGACCTCGAGACGACCGGTCGCGGACGAACGATTTTCAATAGGACTGCCCCTACTTTGGCTTCGGATTGGACATCACAGTTGAGATAGCCGTGCAAGGTAGTTGGGACATCTCGCTCCGGCAACTTATAGCAAGCATGTGGTACTCCTCCGTCACCGCCGTGCTCGTCGGAGCTCTGGCCTGGGGCGTTCAGGCGCAGGATGACATGCGACGCATATCGGTTCGTGATGCGAGAAGAACATGACGCGTGCAATTGGCGGGATGTGCTAACATGTTTCCCGTCCACAGCTACGAACACATACATTGGAGCAGGTCGGTCACCAGTCATGAACATCGAAGCACGTGAGGATATGATACGGCGAGATGCTGACAGTGCATAACCTGCAGCCTTACCTCGACTCGGATATGCAGAGCCGATGGTTCGACTTCGGTGGCGACACGATTGTCCGCACCGACTCGTACGTCTCACACCCAACCTTGTATACCAAGCTCAAACTTGCCATCTGCTAACACGAACCGCCCAGCTACGTCCGTCTGACCTCGGATCGCCCCTCGCAGAGCGGGTGGATCTTCTCGCGCGTGCCGCTGACAGCCACCAACTGGGAGGTCGAGGTCGAGTTCAAGATCTCGGGCAAGAACCAGCTGTTTGGCGACGGCTTCGCCATGTGGATCACGCGCCAGCGCGGCGAGGTGGGCCCCATCTTCGGCAGCAGCGACAAGTTTGATGGCCTGGGTGTCTTCGTCGACACGTACAAGAACAACCGGCCGGGCGTAGTGTTCCCCTACGTCATGGCCATGCACAGCGACGGCACCAAGTACTACGACAAGAACAACGACGGCAAGGACGCCGAGCTGGCGGGCTGCTCGGCGCGCGGCATCCGCCACGCGTCGGTGCCGACCAAGCTGCGGCTCACGTACTTCCAGGACCGCTACCTGCGCCTCGAGCTGCAGTACAAGAACGAGGACGAGTGGCAGACGTGCTTCGACGTCGACCGCCCGCCGCAGCTGCCCAACATCGCGTACCTCGGCTTCAGCGCCGAGACGGGCGAGCTCAGCGACAACCACGACATCGTCTCGGTCAAGACGTACAACCTGTACGCCAACCCGGGCTCGCCGCCGTCGGCGCAGCAGCCTAGCAAGAGCAACCGTGGCGGCAGCTCGTTCGTCTCGTCGCAGGACGGCGGCTCGTGGACGTGGTTCTTCACAAAGGTCATCTTGTTCTTCATCGCCGTCGGCGGTGCGTACGTCGGGTTCACCGCCTACCGCGCCAAGTATCGCAGCCACCGCTTCTAAGACGGGAAGAGCATTCTTTTTGGTGTCAGGTGGGTGGAGGAACGGTGGATGGAAGAGACCTAATTCATTCCCTTGTTTTTATATCTTTTATGTCAGCCTGCGAAGAAGGGAGGGGGGAAGCTAAAAGCGGATAGTTTTGCCCGGCAATTGTGACATTTTGCATTTTTTTGTAGGATGGGAAACTGCTTCATATGTGGTATTAGGCGATTGGAACGTTGAAAGTGCGTACCCGGGTAGGGTAATAAAATGGAAAACGATAAATGACTCACCTAAACGTCTACTTATTTCCCTATAAGCACATCAATAGCTACATATCTAGATAATCAGCCACGGCAGCATGACTCTGTATCAAGTATGGCCAATATCAAGTATGGTCAACGACTAACCCAGGTGTTGTCGAGTGTCACCTCGGTGAGACAGACTAGTCCTGGCTCGAAAAATCGCCACTTATTAATTGTAGAATTTCTATTGTATTTTTTTGGTGTAATACTATTCTTCCTCTCCTTCTCTTTTCCTCATCTGGATATTAATCCAAAGGCGGAAATTCCGTTTTTTTACCGCCGCTCTCTGCCTTGTTGGCCCCATCGTCTTCGCTCTTGTTACCTTCTTTATGTACTTAGTCAGCCGCCCCAAGTCCGACTTTATTAGCCGACCCCGGCGAAATTTCTTTTCCTTTCTTCCTTTCTCTTCAACTTACATTTACCCTTCGCCATCACACTAATGAACAAGTTCATCACATCCCCGTGGCTTATTCACAATCTCGCGCGAAGTAGATCAGTCTTGCCTTTCATAATCCCGCTGCTTGCCCCTTGTGCGGCTCCTTCGGGGGACGCCACCATGGGTGCTGCGGGTTCGCTTATGTGCGTACATGCATGCAATGCAGGTAGTACCTATGTATACACTCTGTGCTACACCCACGAATCATTTTTACGGTGTCATGACATCTGGATGATGGAAAACTCGTATTCAACATGTATATGCCCATGATACTTTTAAAACCAACCCAAGAATACATTTACTCCAGAACTCGCCATATTTTGTAAACGACATAAAAAAGACGAAAGAAACCTTGAATGCACGAAGTGTTTAGGCTTTAGCCTTTTTGGCCTTGCCGCCCTTGGCCTTTGTCGCCTTGGTAGGCTTCGCCTTGGGCTCTTCCACCTTGAGCTCCTCTACCTTGGGCTCCTCGACGGGAGCAGCTTCAATAGCCTCCTTGGTCTCGACGGCATCGCCATTCTCCGTAGCAGCATTCTCCTCCGCCGCGGGGGCGCCGGGTGCAGGGACAGCCTTGATCTCGGGTCCCTCGAACTCGTATCCCAGGGCCTTGAGCTTCGCCGCCTTGTCGGCGCGCTTCTTGGTCTCGCGCTCGACCTTGAGCCCCCACGCGGACTCGGAGCGGGGCTTCTCGAGCTTGCGGCCCGCCATACTCGTCCACGGCACCTTCTTGAAGCGGCGGTTGGCGCCCTTGAAGAGCGCCTCGTGGACGCGCGCGGGTGGCACCACCTGGCACTTGAGGATGTGCCCGAAGAGCAGGTAGTTGTCCATGGTCTTGGCGACGACCTCGGCCGTGCTGCGCTCGGTGAACTCGACAAAGGCGAAGTGCTTACTGGCGCCCGTCTTCTTGTTGCGCGACAGTCGCAGGCGAGAGATGGGGCCGAACTGCGAAAAGTACTGGCGCATCTCGTGCTCGTAGAAGCCGTGCGGGATGCGGCCGACGTAGACGACGCCCCGCTCGCCGCTGGCGGCCTCGCTTGTCACGCCCTCGCGGACGGCCTTGGAGACGCTGGGGATCGTGCCGACGTCCTGGCCTTCCTCGAAGAGCGTCACACCGTCGGCCTCGTCGTCGCCCGAGTCAAGCTCGGTAGCGAGGACTAGAGCGTCGTTGTTCTCCTCTTCATCCTCCTCTTCACCGTCGGCGGGCTCCTCGGCGGGCTCCTCGACCGGCGCTGCGGGCTTCTTCTTGCCGTTTGTCTTCGGGGTCTCTTCCTTGGCTTTCGTGGTCTTCTTTGGAGCAGGCTTTGGTGCCGGGGCTTCCTTGGCGGGCTTGGACTTCTTTGCGGAAGCGGGAGAAGCTTGTTCGGCAGCTGTTGACGTGTACGGTCAGAAACTCGGCTATTTGTTAGAAAGAAATGGGAATAGTTACCCTTGCGCTTGCCCTTGCCCGCGGGCTTCTCAACCTTGGGAGCGGGCTTCTCAACCTTGGGAGCGGGCTTAGCAGGCTCAGGAGCCTCTGTAGTCAATTAGTGAATATATCACTGAGAATACATATATTCGCGACATACGCTTTCTTTTCCTGAGTTCGGGAGCCATTTTATGTGTTGCCGATGGGTATCTCGTTGCAAGAATTAGCATCTACAGCTGGTGGGAAATGCGACCGCAGAAAAAAAATAAGTTTCTGCCAGTCCAACTTCAAGGCGGTGAAACAGCTACCCGCGTTGGACAGCGAGGCTGGGTACCTTATTAGTGGGGATAGTCTGCTGCTAAAAGGGTCCTTCCAGCGGGAAGCTCTCCACCACCTGCACGCTTTGAATCTTGCAAACGACGATATCGCAAAGAACCAGCAGTATTCTTTCCACAGTAATCAGCTCCTGGAATCTGGCAGTTTCTTCAAAGCGCTTGTGGCCAAGGTAAATGTAATGGCTAGCCACAACATAAACATCAACGATGATGAGATGTGGGATGACTCGGTGCTCGTCGCCTCCTGGAACGAGGCCCTAGATGAGTACAAGGTATACTGCCTCCGCAATCACTAAAGAAACCTCATATTGACAATTAAAGAAATACCACAGCATACACGCCAGGGGTGGGACTATAAGAGAACTGAAAGCTTTATCGTCATCAAAGTAAGTGTCAGGCCCTCATTGCACCCTTTCTGAAGCGGCTAACGCGCAGCAGGAAAGCAAACGAGGACAACTCGGCCCCGGACTCTGCCTCTGAAGTTAAGATAGAAGCAGACCAAGAATTGATACCGGATAGGTTGCAAGAACAGAAGATAAAAGACGTCGCTTCTGAGGCCGCCGGCGTGCCTCCCGCCCTCCCACCTCCACAAGCGGTGCTGGGAACCGGTAAGTCTTGTTTCCGGAGTGTGCCGCCCACAATTTGTATATTGATTCCACGTGCTGACGTATATCTTTTTGCAGTTCGAGATGAAAATCTGAAGAAGCTATTAATGTCCTGGTATTATGCAGGATACTACACTGGCCTCTACGAGGGGCAGCAGCAACAGGCGCCGCAGCAGCAACAGCATCAATGATATGATCGCTGTGGGATAAGCCACTCATGCACCTGTCAAATAGGAAACTTCATATGGATGAGACTGGAAACTGGTTTTTGGCATGGCCGTGGTTGCCGGGCGTCTTGGTGGCGCAAGACTCTGCTGCATGCCCTGTCGCAGGTGAGCGCACACCACTTTACGCCGCCGCCTGGGCTGCCCATAATTCTGCAACGATGATGGAGTGAACACTCCAAGGAGATGCCGGTACCCGGGCTGGAGCCAAGAAAGATGGCAAATTACACCAGTGCGTGCGCTCGGCGCCGCGCCTCCCTGCTCCTATGCCTGTTCCCGAGATGGGATTCGCAACGTTCCATGGCGATGACTACTGGATTGGGACGGGGCGTTTGGGCTGGGCGTTTCTCGACAGCCTGCACCGGCGAATTTGTAAAGCGGGTGATGAGCCTGCGACGTGCTTGCGTCCTAACCAAACATTTGCGAAACAAACCGCGAAGATCGATTTGGCAGATTTCGGGTTCGACGGCACGCTGGGAGACGGATTCGCAATACCTAAACGAAAACTAGGCAACTAGGCAGCTGGTCTGGTTGTTGCAAGCAAATGAACTAGTACCACCTGTTGCGTTTCCAGTCATCGATACGACGAACTTGTCAAAGGACTTTGCCGCCAAGGCCAATACCGCCGCAGCTAGAAGGATGCAAGCCATCGCGAGCGCACACGCCCCCGAGCACAGCCCCAATAGTTCTAATTCAACTTTTGAAAAAAGAAAAGAACCCGTACAGCCAAGCCCGTACCTGTTTGATGTCCCCAGGGTCATGTCCAAAGCGATGGAAATTGGCCACGGCCACGACGGTGGACTTGTCGTTGACGCTGCCCAGCACGGAGGACGAGTCGCCGCGCCAGTGGCGTTTCAGAAGTCCTCCTGCGCTGGCGGTTTGAGGACGGCGGCCTAGCTTGACATGCTCTGCAGGGAGATGCTTGGCCCGGCAAGAGTGGCTTCTGCGGTCGTCCTGCCGGAAATTTACAATCTGATCTGAAGAAAAAGAGGAAAGAAAAAAGGTGGTATGGATACCAGCCTTGTGATAATTCAGACCAAGGCCGTGCGATCAAGCTTATTGTGTGGGTGATGGTGGAGATGCTCAAGTTGAGCAGGTTGATTAGACGGCAAGGCGTTAAATTCTCGCCACCATCGACTGGGCTCAACATCTACAGTTCAGGTGAAAACATTACGAGAGGTTGGAATACAAAAATCCTCTACGGTCGTATTCTGTCATTTCCCACTATCTTAGCTGCCCACGGGGGCATCCTGAGGCTCTAGTTTGACGCATTACCCGATTAGGCATTCTCCAAGACCCCTGGAGACAACTGCCAGACGCGACCCGAGACGACTCCTGGTTACAACCAGTCATCCTAGCCCGCCACCTACTAGGTACTCTATGCAGATTCAGCCCCCCCGAAAACTTGATAGGAGTTTGCTGCAAGGCATCGGCTACCCCATCTTGCCCACCACCAATAGTGGTGCTGCGTTGAAGGAAATGGGATCGGATCGGTAGGAGCCCGACTTCGTCTGGGCGCCCGGTCGTGCGTCTGCAGGCACGAAAACTACCTAACCTAGGTGCCTATCTCACCTTGTGCCTTGGAGAATGAGACCACTGTGGAAACGGGGTCGAAGGTCAATCCCGCCCCATTCTAGCCTCTTCTCTTTTCCTTTTTTCTTTAATTTAATTCTTTTTTCAATTTAATTTTTCCCGGATATGGGATGACCCTGGCGGGCGAAAGGGGTGGCGAGCGGCATCCGTCGTTTGGGCTCTGCGACAGATCATGTCATAACTTGTTATAATGCATCCCGTTGCCCATCCCCTTCCCGCCGTCTTTCCCTCTCTCTTTTTTCTTTTCCTTTTCGTCTGACAATTCCTCCATTCTCTTTTCGTCGGCAGTTCCCTAGCCCTCTTCTCCTTTCTTTTTTGTCCTGTTTTCTCTTGAGAGTTGCACTCCTTTCGTTCTTTCCACTTACACGAGCAGGTACTCAAACCAACAACAACAACTAATCAACACACATTTTCAAATATCTTCGTTCTTCTTTTTTCATTCCTCCGCGAGGAATAACAAACATCGAACAGCCAGCAAACCGAAAAAAAAAATACAGAGAATCATCATGAAGTGGTCGACAACTGTCGCGCTGGCCGCCGCGCCCATGGCTGCCATGGCCGCCAACAACAGACTGCGCCATACCTACCCCGTCAGCCCGAAGCCGCGGGCTGAGGCCGTGAGCGAGCTCGACGAGCGTGCCCTCGTTTTCAGCAACGGCAACGGTCTCCTCAACGCAAATGGACCCGGCATCACCGTCATCTGGGTCAACTTGGGCAACAATGCGCCGACCTCCACCATCAACCAGAAGGTTACCGTCACCTCGGTTGTTACTGTCGGGGGCGGCGGGGAGGCCACGGCACCCCCCAACGCCGAGGCCGGTAAGCCTACGGAAGCTCCTGCTGGCGAGGCCGGTACTGCTACGAAGTCCCCCTCCGCCGGAGCTACCCACACCGTTAAGGTCGGCGGTCCCGGAGGACTCACCTTCCAGCCCGACCAGCTTAACAACGTTCCCAAGGGCGACATGGTCGTCTTTGAGTTCCTCTCCCAAAACCACACCGTCACTCAATCGCCCTTCAACACGCCCTGCAAGAAATTGGACCAAGGCATGGACTCTGGTTTCATGGCCAACCCCAACAACACCTTCTCGCCGGCTCCCAAGATGGCCATGCAGGTGACGGTTGACACTCCTCTCTGTAAGTTGAACGTCCATGAAGGGAGACAATTAAGTGTAAATAAGTACCCGCGGTGTTCAACTATGCTAACAACAGCGTAGGGTTCTACTGCAGGCAACAGGGCCACTGCGGCAAGGGTATGGTCTTCTCCATCAACCCCACCGCCGAGAAGACGCAGGCCATGTTCCAGCAGATGGCCATTGCGCAGAACGGCACGGGTGAGGCCACGCCGATCACCGGCGGCACTGGTAACCCTGGCGCTGAGCCCGCCGCGCCTCCTGCCCCGCCCGCCGCCGAGGCGCCCAAGGAGAGCGCAACGTCCAAGGCGGGTGAGACGGCCACCTCGTCCAGCGCCGGTGCCGCGGAGCCCACGGCCGGTGCCGGGACGCCCGCGGAGCAGCCGGCCAACGCTGAGCAGCCCAAGGAGCCGGTCGCCGGTGGCGAGGGCACCACGCCCGGCAAGGGTACCGTCGGCGCCGACGGCAGCTGCTCCTGTTTCGTGGCCTGCAATGGCTTACCTGCCATGGGCCAAGGCTCCGTTGCCTTGGGTAACATGGCTGCCCTCCGCTGAGGATGGTCGGGCCGAGTGCCGGGGTTCATTGATATGAAATTTGAATGATAGATGGGTGCCGGGTATCGATCGATGGCTTTCTCTTTGTGTCATGTACCAGTCTCCTTCAGAGAGGCATGATTTGATTTTCTTTTTCCTTCTATGTTTGTTTGCTGATGTCGGTATATATATGGCTGGTACGTATCCTTGGATGGGAAAAATAATGAAGCAACTCTCATGTGCAGTCTCCCCGTCATCCGACTTGTGCGTTGATCGCTGCTCCCGTGTCCGTGTTGCAACTAGTTGGTTATCGATGCTTGTCGTGATTTGTCAAACTAAAACAGACCAAGGGAGGCGCGCATAATAAACGGGAGGGAAGACATGTATTAGCTTGGAGCCCGAAAAAAATTAAATAAAGTCAAGTATATGCAACCATGCCGCCAGGCTCTTTTTAACCACCCAGGCGCCCAAAACACCGCACCTCAGTTTGTATACGCCGGGAGAGGGGAACGTTCCAGTCATCGGGAAGAAAGAGGTCGCTCGCTAGAATGATGTCGATGGTGAGATTCAGTCCGTCTCGTCCTCTAGGATACAACGAAGACTATTTCTTGGCCGCCTCTGCTTTCTTGGCCTCGGCTAGTAAGGAAGAAAGTATGTTAGCAAAATAACAAGTGTAGTTTTCGGGGTTCGGTCGGGGAAGTTGGTTGGCGATCGTACCGGCAGCCTGCTTCGCGCGCATGATTTCGGCAGCGCTCTCCTTGGCGCGCTGCATCTCGGTGCCGCTCATGTTGGTGCCCTTTTTCTGCGATGCGGGGGAAGAAGAAAAGGTAGGGTTAGCATGGCCATGCTTGGTTCGTGGGTTGGAGGGCGGAGGGGGAACGCACCTGGGCGGCTTGCTTCTTGAGGTTGGCCTCACGAGCCTTGTCCCTCTGGTTTCCGCGAGCCATGGTATCGAGGGAGGAGGAGGAGGAGGAGGCGAGAGGAGCGGTCGGTTGGGGGGAGAGGGGTGCGGGGTGTCGAGAGGGAGGAGTTCGGGAGGCGATGATGGATGGATGGATGGATGAAGGGGAAAAAAAAGATGAGAGAGGCTCTGCGTCGCCACCAACGGGCGGCCAGCGGGCGGGAGCCACGCTGAGGGCATTTTTGGGTTGGGTGGTGGGACGCCCAAGCGCCTACCGACTGGCGAAAGCGTCAACCAGCGGCGGTCGGGCCTCTTGCCTTGTTTGGTGATGCCTGACTAACAATTAATTGTTCATGGATTTACCATGGATATTTGCTGCTGTTTATTCCTTTTTTCTTGGAACAACAAGCGTGGTTGAGGCAGCTTGCTGTCTGTTCTGCTTCAGTTACTTTACTTACAAGGCGCATGCCTTTGTGGTAGCAGCGTCAACGCCAGAGCACCAGGCAGGTATGACTACTGTAGGTAGATGATACAAGGCTTTTTGGGCAGTTACAGGGGAGTTCGTAATAGGCAGGATGCATAGATACATACGCATGGACAAAATCTAGGATATAGATTGTGTATGAATAAGCGCCTACTTGTGCTATGATGCGATAAATAGCCAACGTATTCGTAAAGGCAGGTATCCAGATGCGATACGTGAGGGGCTTTGGTGAAGATGCGGAGTCCCAAGGCGGCGTTGCCAAAAATAGGACCCTTGACTCGATCGAAAATTGAATACTATTCTTTTCTTCTTCAGTTTTATAATTATTTTTATTTTTGTATAAGCGAATATTTGGACGGATGAATGCAGATACGTACTGTACATGCGTACGGACAGACACGAGCATACCTTTAGCAGGTAGGGTCTTGTGGACCCCAGCGTTTTAGTTGCCGCCCAGTCCCTGAAACCGACCATCGTTCACCAACACCCAATCATTCACTTTTTAGCGCTTCCATCTCGGGATACCTTCACCTTGTCGCTCTTGTCCCCCACGCATTTCTATATTTCTTTCTTTCTCCTTTATTTTTTCTTTTCGATGCACGCATCGATGATTACCCCTGACGCCAGGCCTACCCACCTAGCTTCTCTCCATGAACCGCACATCCCACAAGCCCACACCCACCCGGCCCAAGGCGCCGGCCATGAAACAAACGTCGTTCATCAACTCTTCACCAGTGCTTCCTCTCCGATGCCTCTGTCCATCCTGGCTCCCTGCCTGATCGATTGGATATCGGACACCCAACTCTCGACTCTTCAATCGGATGGTGGAGTTCCTCTCCTACCCACCGCAGACCAGCAAGCCATTCCATCCAGCGCTGAAGCCGCCCAAGATGCTGAAAATAGAGTCTTGACCGACCATGATGCGACGGACGATTGATTGATTCCCTTTTCGTTATCGCTTCGATTCACCGTAAGCTCCCGTTCCAGGGGCGTGTAACGCGTCGAGCACGCGGCGGTGCGACGCACCCCAAGGCGCCAGCGCTCTTCTATTCACTATTCAGCTTTATTAAAGGCTGCCTCGTCTGCCCCCCATTGTCCATGTCCTCCCCTCGCTCACTTGCTCCCCAGTTTCATTTTTTTCCCATTGTTACCCAAAACACACTGCTATTTACTCGCCCTCTTTAATCATAGATTTTCTATTCCAATCCTTCCTTTGTTCTTTATTCATCCCAAACTACTACTTCTTCCTCTAACCACCCACCCACCCTGGCCTGGCTCCTCCATCCTCTCCTTCCTCAACTTCACCACCTCGAGCCTAAACACGCTTCTGAAAGCCCTCACTCACTCTGCCGGTCAGATATCTCATATACGTCTCAGTCATACCTTTACATAATGTACGCGTCTCAACTCGTTGCTCATCAGACACCTACTCTATCATTTGCTTACAAGCCTGCAGAATCCAGTCATCCAACCACGCCTCCGACTACAGTCCTTCCCATAGCCTGTACAAGATCGAAAACGTATACATACGTACAGTCATCCATTCCTAAAACCAGCATCATGCCTTTCGGAATGCCGCGCTCCGCCGGGCCCCTCAACCTTAATGGATTTGGCTACTGGGTGCTCCAGGGCCTTCGCGTCTGCACCGTCATCACCCTCCTTGCCGCCGCCGCCGGCTGCTGGGTCCTCATCATCCAGGTCGACAAGTACAAGACCTTCTTCGTCTTCCAGTGCCTCTCCTTCTTCTTCACCTCCATGGGCTGCCTGTTCCTCATCACGGCCGAGTTCCCAGTCATCAAGTTCCTCCGCAACTTCTACAAGGAGTCCTGGCCGGTGCTGTCCGACGGGCACGGCGTTGGCTGGATGGGTGCCGCCATCGTAATCATCGGGTTCCACGTACTGGGCTCGCTCAACGAGCAGGGCTACGACACCGACGCCTTCACTGGCCACTTTTCCCAGCTGGTCCTCGCCTCCGGCATTCTCTGCGTCCTCTTCGGCTGCCTCAACATCATCGCCGCCCTCATCTGGCGGGATGCCAAGCACGGCATCACTTCTCGCGACATTCGAAGGGACGGCTCCCTCGCCGGGGATGGCGCCACACTCCCCAGCTACAGTGCCAGCCCCGCCGCGTCGGTTCGCAACGAAAAGACCAGGAGCAAGTTCCTCAGCAAGGTCTGGAAGCGCGGCGGCGACAACGAGCGGCCCAACATCAGCGCTCCGTTTTCAGATGAGCGGCTGAATGCCCAACCGAGAGTAACCAGCCCCATTGTTCCGGGGCTTAAGCGACCTGATACGGCACTGCACCCGATGCACGGTCACCCAGACCGAGCCAGCAGTCAGTACTCTGTTGCTGACAACGCCCCCCGAGTTTAAACTGCCCATCTAGAGCGTTTCGGAGCCGGTCAGGCTTTCTGTAATACCATAGTACCCAGTATACCACGGCAGGTCAGGGTTAGGGCGTCGGGCACTTCTAGTCTTCTGGCTAAGCAAGGAAGAGATTGTATTTTTTTGTGCTTTTCTCGATGATTCATTACAATGGCAGCCACGAAAAATATGTAAAAATGGTTTACCACATTTCTTGACAATCCTCGCTTCATTTTGTCTATGTGATTTTTGCCGTGATGTACCTACTCGAAGTACCCAGAGAAAGACTGCTATGACCAGCATGGCTATGTACATCAAGTCCACAAAGCTTGAAACTGACAGACGTTCCACGTCAAGGGGGTTAAAGGGGCCAAAAGGGTCAAAAACAAAGTAAAAGTTAGACACCACCGGGTTAGCTCCTGGGTTTTCGAGAAGCACAACATTGACTTTTAATAAGTGACGTCGACCTCCGTTTACCTGTGCCAAGTGGAGAACTCACAGTGACACGGCTGCACGTGATCCATTACCCAGGCTAAATCAATCCCAACCTGCGACCGCGACCAGGCAGCGCCTTCTTTTCCTCCTCTTCATCATTTTTCAACGACTCAACTTCTGCCGAACCATCGAAGCGAATCCCACAGACTCGATTAAAGCATCACTCTTTTGACCCTTGTACCACAACCGGACGTTCCCGCTGTTGGCCTGCTTTCTTGTTCATCGTCTGAGACGAGAGCATCTCTTCAGCAAAGCAGCCACAGCAAATTCGTGCAAACATCGCGTCGGGCATCTCTAAAGTCTGCATACCATAGAATACTAGGCCCATTTGAACTGTTCTTCTCTTGTCGTGCCAGCCAAAGGCAATGCTGACATTGCCGTGATTTTGGTGCTGGAACGCAGTGATTGACTTGGCGAGCTTGGGTTCCTTTCCTCTTCTTTTCAAATTTCGTTTCAGCAAGCGTCACGTCTTCCAAGGATTAAATTTTCCTGGGCCGGAATAACTACCCCAAGCTCTGGAATAACTTGATTCTCCATTCCTGCGCCATCCCATAATACTTTACACTCTACAGTACACGCTTGGCTATCTAGGCTTGAGCAAAGCCTGCATCTACACAAATCCGCAAATCTCGCAAATAATCCAGTCAGTATGTCTTCAGAATCAGATGAGGTGGCGGAAGACTATCGTCTCGCTTTGGAAGACCTCACCTCGAATATGCGATTCGAAATTAGCAACTTGACTGTGATTGCAAGAGAGAACACCGAGCATGCATTAGCCATTGCCGAGGTTCTACAACAACATATTCTCAAGGTAGGTAAAAAGCCAATAAAACTCCCCGTCTGACGAAGAGTTGCTTTTTACGTGTCGCAACTGCAAGCCGGACGTTTGTACTGATCGATTCTTAGGCACCTCCTCCTAAGAAACTACCCGCTCTTTATGTACTCGACTCCATCGTAAAGAATGTCGGCACTCCCTACACGCTCTATTTTGGCCGGAATCTATTCAAGATCTTCATGGAATCCTACGCGATGGTCGACGATGCTGTGCGCAAGAGAATGGAGGACATGCTCAGGACGTGGAAGGACCCCGTTCCCGGGTCCATGGATACCAGACCAGTCTTCTCGCACGAGTTGGTTCGGCCCATAGAGAACGCTCTTATGAGGGCACATGCGGCTTCCATTCCGCAAAATGCAATGGCTGGACGAGGGCGCGGGGTCTTGATGCCGCACCGCAACACCCCTACACCACCGAACATGCGTGGTTATCCGACGCATGGCGGCCAAGGCCAGATGCCGAATGGAGGGCCGGTGCCGGATCAATACCAAGGCCATAATGCACCAGTAAGTCAACATCGCTGGCCAAGTCCTTCTCAGCTTCCTAACAGCCGACAGAACAACCATTATCGTCAAATCACGCCGCAAGCTGTTCAATCACAAGGATCATACCCCCCTCCTGGACAGTACGGCGCTGGAGCGCCGGGCACAAACGTAGACAAGTTGAATCAGGATATCCAGAATCTGATTGTAGCGACACAAGTCGAGTTCTCGCAGAATCCTCATGATGCGGGTATACAGATCAGACTTAAAGCATTGATGGATCTTCAAAGTGTGGTTCAAAAGTCGGCCTTGCCTCCAGACCAGCTCGAGCTCATTAAAAACAAAGTAACTGAACTTGCTGCTGTAACACGGCCCAGTATGGCCCCTTCATATGGTGGGCAAAACCTGCTACCTGCTCAACCACCCTTGGGGCAGTTTCAACAAGTAGCGCAGCCTCCGGCTCCTCCTGCCAACCAAGTTCCGCAAGGACAGGTGTCTCTGGACGCCTTGCTGGGTCAAGGAGCTCTTGCTGCTCTCATGGCGAGAACTGGATCCAACTCCAACAACACAACACCCAATCCTCCTGGCTCGGGGGCTATTCGTTCTCCGCCACCTGCGCCGGCCCAACCTCCAAAGCCTGCGGCGGCGGCCCCGACAAATGCGTTGTCAGTGCTGGATAGACTTCGGCAAGCTGGTCTACTGCTGCCGGCCGCTGCTCCAACACCACCAGTCGTCCCTGTTGCCGCCGCGGCTCCGCCTCCTCTCATCCCGGCCAACATTGCCAGCATTCTGTCCGCAGCAAAGGCCGGCGCTTTCAACATGCCTAACTTGGGAGCCTTGGGCCTAAACGAGGCCATGTTGAAGCAGCAGTGAGTGCTCTAGACAATGGAACAGCATGACAGTACACTAATTCGTTGACAGATCGCCGGATGACATTATAAATGCGTTGTATGATGACCTCGGGCCACCCTGTGCTGAATGTGGTAGACGATTCAAGCGCAACATGGAAGGGAATGAGAAACGCCGCGCCCACATGGACTGGCATTTCAAGGTCAAACAGCGCAGCGCAGAGGCGGAGAAGAGGGGTACGCATCGTAGTTGGTACGTTGACCAACAGGTAAGCCAAGCATCTTCTCTGAGCTCAGCTAAGCATTCTATGCTAACATGATACTCAGGACTGGCTTCGATCACGCGAGGTCGTCGACGCAGACCACATTGCGCAACCGGAACCTTCGGCGGAGGAGCGGTCCAAGGCTGCCTCGAGCCCCAAGTTCATCCTGGTGCCAGAGCCTAGCAGCGGCATCAACAACGTCTGTCCAATCTGCCAGGAAAAGTTTGAGAACAAGTGGCTAGACACGGCTCAGGAGTGGGTGTGGCTGGACGCGGTGCTGGTGCGCAATCGGGCTTACCACGCGTCGTGCCATGACGAGGCGACGAGGGATCGCGAGGGTACGCCTGGCGTCTCGTCGAGACGGACCCCGGAGCCAGTGCTCGGAAAGCGCAAGGCAGAATCGGGCCTGCTGTCGCCCAAAATCCGGGCGCTTAAGACGGCGTACTAGGAGGGTTGGGTGTCGGATGACTGCCGGCGTTGTTTTTTGTTTTCTCTTTTGGAGCTGCGTTCACTGCTGGGACTGGCATGACAGCACTGACTGGGCATAGCATGGAAGAGGCGTTTGATGCCATGTTTTTTTTTTTTGGGGAGATTTGGCTTTCCCTGGGTACTGTGGATTCTGGAAGAGTGGCCTATCTCTATTCCATCTCTACATGAATGTTTTCGAGGCGGCACGCAGCATATTTATGATATTGCGGTGTACATACAAATCACATATTAAGAAGAGGTAGAAGAACTCGAAACGTTTAATTTATCGTGCACCTTGCCATTAGAAAATGTAGTTTTTTGGCGATTTTCTTTTTGTAATCAGTGAATCAGTGAGGGGTTGATGTTGGTCGAGCCGGGCCGCGGGGTCAAGAGCCGAGGCAACCGACGATGGAGAGTTGCCGCATCTCGCACTACAAGGCTTGCCGCCACCCGCCAACTCAACCGGGGCCTGGCCAGATCTTGCGTTTACAACGAATACTGCATCATCACATATTCACATTACATACATATCCACCTTGACCACCTACCCTCACGATGGCCTCTACTGCCACGGAGGTCGAATACTCCCCTGCGCGGCTCTCCTTCTTCGCCGCCGTGCTCGTTTGCGGGTACCTCACCGTGCGCGTCATCATCCCGCCCAACCAGACGCCCCCCGAACGCGCCTGGCGCACCGACTCGCTGTGGTTCGCCCGCAGCTCCCTCTTCCTCATCCTCGCCGCCTCCGCCGCCGCGCTCCTCGTTCTCTACCACGCCGCCCTCACCCTCTTCCCCTCCAGCAGCATCTGCCCCGCGCCTGAGCACCTCTCCCCTTACCTCTTCACCTGGGGCCCCGTCACCGCGCCATCCTTCCTGGCCATACTGGTAGGCGCGCCGCTGCGCGTGGGCGCGTTCGCGGGTCTCGGGAAGAGCTTCACGTTCGGGCTGGCGCGCCCCCGGGGCGGGCTGGTGACGACGGGGGTGTACGCGCGCGCGCAGCACCCGAGCTACACGGGGATGGCGCTGGTGGCGGCGGGCAGCCTGGCGGTGTTTGCGAGGGTGGACGGCGGGCCGGCGGCGTGCTGGGTGCCGAGGGAAGGGGGGGCGTGGGAGATGGTAAGGGGCTGGGCGCCGACGGTGTATGTGGTGGTGGCGGGGTTGGTGGTGCAGCAGATCGCGACGAGGGTGCGGCAGGAGGAGGCGATGCTGAAGGAGCTGTTTGGGAAGGAGTGGGAGGAGTGGCATGCGAGGACGAGCAGGTTCGTGCCGGGGCTGTTTTAGGGGTTGAGAGGGGATAGATGGGGGATGAGACATGGAGGGATGCATAGATATATATGATAGAGGTGGTTGACGATGTGTATGGATTCCTGGGTGCATCTTTCGGATAAAACAAGGGTGGTATACCATTATGCTTCTTTAAAAAAAAGATCTAAAGGAAAATATGTACATTACAAATTAACTTTCAAAATCAAATCGTCACTCAACTTTGTC